GACTGAACCATATCGACGATTCACAACTACACTCATTCAGAAAACACCGATATTAAAATGTTTTGGAAATCATTGCTTCAAACAAACGAATCAACTAATGATTGTTCCTATTTCAACAAGTGGCGCTTAAAAAGACTCAATAAAATTGAACAATGCTCTTGCTTTTTAATGTCATAGGTTATTTTAGAATCCACTATATATTGGGTTGTCCAGTTATGAATGCGCGTTTTTACTATTTTGTAAATTTCTCAAGATATCGAACAGATGTATATGAGTGTTATATATCATTCGAAAGCTGAAGATCTCCTCTACATTTTGGAATAAAAGTTTTGAATTCATTTAACTTTTTGGGAAATTGACTGCACAAAGGGAGAGGTCGTTTTCGAAAAAACTCATTTCAGCTTAGCTATTTCTCAAGTTTTATGGTGCAAAATAACCGCCCAGAAAAGTAAAGATGCTCTGAAATTGTTATATTTAAAAACAAGTTGTATTGATATATCTATTGGCCAAACATCAGACGGTTAACTCAATTTGAGCGGAGCCAAAACTTGATCCAAAGGCACCCTTCCATTTTTTGGCCACCTCTTCTTCTATGCAGTCAATTTGCCCAAAAGCTGAACAAATTCAAAAACTTTTTTATATCAAAATGTAGAGGAGATCTTTAGGCTTTCGAATAATACTCATATATATCTTTTTCTTGATTTTGATATCTTGAGAAATTTACAAAATAGTAAAAAACGCGCATTCATAACTGGACAACCCAATATAAAGCAGAAGAGAAATCTGTCTGTCTGTAACAGGCACTTTTCTCAACTCCTAGATCGAATTTCAAAATGCAGTTTTTTGTTCGATAGGAAATTTTTTCACACTCCCCGCCCCCAAAAAATCAGAAAAATCTCATAAGGCCGTTTTTTTCTAAATGCAAAAACAGGAAAACTAGCCAGCTGTTGCCAAGCTTTCCCTGCGCAAATGGCCGAGTGTTTAGAGCGCGCGTCTCTCAAGCGAGCGTGGGAAAGACGGGTCGTGGGTTCGATTCCCTCCGAGAAAATTAGTTTTGCTTTTCTTTTCAAAATAGATTTTAACTGTTGGAAAGTCGATTTCGATAGTTTTCTACTAAAGGGAAGAGACGTCTGTCTGTCCAAATGACATGATGCACAAGATTGTCTACAGGGAAGTTCTCGAATAAACAGTTTTCAGCTGCGTTAGCATTTTTTTCAAGCATTTTTCTTTTTTCAATGAGCTAATTGTTTAAACATACCGTATTTTCTTTAACAGAAGAGCATGCTCTTCTATTTTTTAACTCCCCAAAATTGTCCGACCAAAAAAGTAGGTACCACATAAATAAAAAATCTAAAAATTGTTTAAAACTATTTTAAACGATAGCCATGAGAGTAAAACGTACGAAAAATGTGTTTAAAAGTAAAAATTATTTTGCCCGGAACCCATAGCGAATCTTCCAAGAAAATCCACATAAAATTTTTTAATTTTCTCAAAAATCATGTTTCCAATTTTACTGTTAATGCTAAAATACTTATATCTGGACCCAAATCTATCATTCTACTTAAAAAGAAGCTCTAAAAAGTCCTGATCTTCAGGGATCAGGGGTGCTCTTCTATTAGAGAAAAACGGTATGTGGTTTTTCCATTTTCGCAATCAATCGATTTGTACTCCTCTCCGGGGCTGAGTTGTTCAAAAATTGCACAGATAAGGAATGTTCTTGCAAAAGAAAAACGGAGACGAGTACTCATTGACTCTTCAACTCAAATTTACCCCTCAAATTTTCAAATCGACTCTTCTTCATTTTTTCCTCTTCTCTTCAACTCCAATTTAATCCGGGTACGGGTACTCATTGACTCTTCAACTCAAATTTTGCCAATCGACTCTTCAACTCAAATCTAATCTAATGATCCATCAGCAAAAACAATTTCCATTTAATTCTCTTCCATTTGATTTAAAGAAATCAATTTTTGAGAATATCAGCTGTCCAACGTCATTAAATCTTCTTCAAATCAACAAACAATCTAGATATTTCATTTTGAAGCATGGATTGTTTACGAGAAAAATGGAGAAAATTTGTTTTGAAAGATCTTTACAAACGTTGAGCGATGATTCACCAAGGAAGAAACTTTGCTTTAAGTTGACCCTTCTTTCTGGAGAAGTTACAACTATTTATATTTTTGATGATATGGTAAAAATTAATGGAAAGCAAGTGGCAATTACAGTGAAATCTATTTGGCAACTTTTGAATCAAATCCGATATTGTCGATATGTTACAATGGAGCTGACACGTCAAACTGGAGCCGTGCTTGTCAAAAAAATGAAAAAGCTTTTTGAGATCACGAAATTTTTCCCAAAAATCACCAATCTCTACAGTTTCGACTTTTCCGGAGATTTCCCAACAGCAAAGGTTCTATTTGAAAATTTGCATGTCAAAATCGAGAATTACATTCGAATTTGGGATGGCAAGAGTAATTTCGAGCTCGACGTTTTTGAGGATATTTTTCAAAAAGTCTCATTTAATTCTTGTAAAACATTGCTTTTTGGAAATGCCTCAAACCTTTCCGTTTTTGGTTTTTTGAAGACGAAACCCCAAAATATTATCCATTTGAATTTAAAAAATAAAGTTTTTGAAGAAGAAATGAATTACTTGCTTCGAAGTGATTTTAAACCAAAAGAACCGCAAAAATTGATTTGTATTCAAGGCCGAAAACTTCCACGTTCCTATTTTTCAGAACAATTAACTACTGATTGTTTTGCGAGACTTTTAGAAAAAATTGAATTCGGATGTCATTTCGAAAGATTGAAAGATAACAGTAAACTGGCAAGATCTTTCCTCAATTCTTTGCGAATTCAATTTAATAAACAGCCATTCTACTGGCTGAAATATTCTTTCGATATTATGGAAGAATCACGACAAGCTGAAAGAGCATTTTTCAAAAGAAGACTTCCATGTGGAAAATCAGCGATCGCTCTTTTTTATCTTACTGAGGTGATGGAGAACAGAACATGGTTTTTACGGAAAACGTTCATCATCACGGTGATTGAGAAATAATTTCGAAATTGTTTGAATAAATTGATTTTATAATTTTAGTTTATTATATTCAGAACTAAAGCAGATTATCGATCTAGGCTCAGATTTATCAAAAGCTAATCAGATTAGAGCTTTATAAATTGATTTTATTATTTTAGTTTGCTTAACAGCTAGTTAGCTGCTCAAAAACTGATTTTAAAAGTCGAAGTGCAAAACTTGTTTGTTTATTTATTTGGTACTTATTGATTACACTGGTTGTTTTTCCAAAAATATATCCAATTTTTGTTATTGCATCATTTTGATCACTTTGGCCGTTTTACGGAATTTGCATTTACATTCAACTTAAATCGTTCTTGTTGATTATTTCGACAGTTACCTTACCGAATTTGTGTTTGGCCGCCTCGCAAAAGACAACGATATTTTGCCTATTTTGCTCAACGAGATGGCCCCGATACACCCGTGAAAATCTTGTTTTCTCGTGTTATCTATGTGATTTCTGAATTGTTCTGCAATTTTTTTTTAAACTTGCAAAAACGTCCCGTGTCATCAACATATTATAGATTTAAATTCAGTGTAAATGCCAAATATTGCCCCGGGTGCCCCGGGGCAATATTTTTTCGAACGTGCCATTTGGCTGGAGCACTATTTTTGGGTCACTACACCGCAAGTGTGGACAACCTTTCACTGAGCCCAGAATTACTCAAATTTTTGTTTCATTACCGGGTTTGAGCCCAGTGAATTGAGTTTCTGGGCTTAGAACCAGTTCTGAGGGCCATAGATCTTCTGAAGGCCGTAGATCTTTTTTGTTTGCATCGAACCGCACCGAATTTTGAGAAAAAACCAAACTCATGATGATCAATAAGCTGAGCTCTATTAACCCTCAAGCTTTTAGAGATTTGAATTTTTTGACCCTAAGGATCCTCCTTATGATTTTAGCTATAACCCTATGGTGTATTAACTATAAGCTGGGCCAGTGCTTCATAGTTTGCTAGGAACTTGATTTTTCGTCGTTTAATACTTCCCAGGTGGCTTCTTTGTTGAATCAAAAGACATAAAAAAAAGCCGCCGGAGCAATTGGCCGCCGCCCCATTTCTCGTGATTTATAAAATAAAAGTTAAAAGCTGACACCAATGTCAAAAGTAAAATATGTATTATCGGTATTACATTTTTTTGTTGCGAGAAGAAAAGAATAATCTGTACAGTCACCACTGTTTTCGGCAATCCTCTCAATTTTGTGTTGTAAATAATACTTGCAGATTTGCTAGGTAAGCAGCTGATTGTTGTTGAAAAACAGGGTTCTAAATGGCTTCTTTTTCGAATGTTTTCTTTTATCTATGGGCTGGATCTGAAATTCAAATAAGAGCGGCTATTAAGATTTAAAGCCAAAATTCAAAAACAAGTTGATTCTCGCCTTTCAGTCTGAAAACGTCAATTTTTTCAATAACCTTCAAATAAAAGAAAAGAATGTTGATAAGTTAGACAAACAATGTAAACACTGCTAGTCGTTTTGCATTCGGGTTGTTGATAAGAAATAGAATTTCGCCAGCTTTTTTGTGATGTCATTTCTCATTTACAATAAATTTTTACAAAACTTTATTGCTTGATAAGTGAAAAATAAAGAAAACAAAACTATCCTGACGGCAAAAAAATAGGATTTTTCAAAATAAACATAAAAATTTGCTTACGAATTCAAAGTTCAAAAGATGATACATAAAGACGAAGATTTTTCAGCTAATTTCTATATTTTCGAAACGATTTTCATAAAACTGAAGCTCGACTACTTCAAAATCGCTTCCATCGAAGTTTCAGCGACATTTATTAGTTTTACGCTCATACTGTGTAAATTTAAGAACAAAATTTGTTGTTAACTAACGCTTTTTTCCATTCAATACTTTCACAAGACGAAATTTTCACTTTTAAGTCATCTTTGCATTAATGTAACACTTTGTCCCTCTTGATTTTAGATAAAATGACCAAAATTTGTGTGTTGATAGCTCTGATGTCGATTCTGGGCATCGCCTTCACAATGCCAGTTGTTGAAAACGATGAAAACGCTGCTATTTTGAGCTTCAAAGAAAAAGTGATCGAAGAGATCAGAAAGGTTCCCCCGGAAGTCATGGAGAAAATACGCACCGATTTGGTTTGTCATCATTTTATTTAATTTTTTCATTCAAAGAACTATTTTTGCTTCTTTTGAAAAGAAAATTAGGCTAAAATGATCTTTGAAACTTGAATTTGCTCTATCTTGTATATATTTCAGAGTCTTTCAGAGCTCGAGGGTAGAACTAAAAACAGTTTTGTAACCAGTGTCGTCGATGAATAGAGAAAGGTGTACTTGGCCCCGAAAATTAAAAAACAACTAAGGCCAAGGGCAAGATCATGTGAAAATCTTTCCCTGTCAGATACCTTTTAGAATTTTGTACATTTAGGAGAAACAGCTTTCACAAAATGGTCGACTTGGCCACCAAATGAAACCGGACATTTGGAGCGATATGAGAGACAGAGCTGTTGAAGAAGTTGTCACTGGGATTGTGGTCGGTGATTGTTATATTTTAAGAGCTAAACTATAAAAGACTTCTTAACAAGAATTGCCATCTATTGAACGTGGCACTAGACACGAGCCTCGACCCAGCCACAAGATGAGCCGACTCGGCTCAAAAAGCTGCTCGATTCACTCAACTTTTGATAAGGTGTAACAGCTGCGCCTAATTGGAGTTCACATTACAATTGGGCCCAATTGGATAACACCGTTCACATTGCAACTTGGGTTGAATGCTAAAGAAAGTTTAGAAAATGAAATTTTCCCCAACTTGAGGTTTTCCCCAACCCATTCGGCTTAAAATTAATTTTTTTCAGAGTCCTTTTGAATGACAAGTCGGCATTTCTTTAGGTTGAATTCGGTTGATTTAAATAAAGATTGTTTGAAGTTTAAAAAGATTCTCGAGAAATGAATTGAATATAAAAGCTACAACGAACGCTTTTAGATTGGTGTCTTGGGAGGAATTTTTGGTTAATGCTACAAAATTGCTGTCTCGCGTCAACAAAACAATGTTTTTCAACAAAAATTATTGCCATTTTTCTTTTGCTACACTTTCTATTCTAGAAATGCAAGTTTTTATGTATAACCAATGAAATAAAAATCATTTTTTAAATTTAAGATTTTTGCTTTTAACAAACTGATCAAACAAACTGATCCAGCTAATAGTTAATGCACCATAGGGGCTACTCTTTGTGGGTGTCATCGCTAAAATCATAAGGAGGATCCTTAGGGGCAAAAAATTCAAATCTCTTAATGTTTGAGGGCTAATAGAGCTCAACTTACTAATTATCATGAGTTTGGTGTTTTTCTCAAAATGCGGTGCAGTTCGATGGATGGAAAAAAGATCTACAGTCTTCAGTAGATCTACGGCTCTCAGAACTGGTTCTGAGCCCAGAAATTTAATTCACTCAGTTCAAAACCTCAATTCTCTGAGCGTAGACCCCGTAATAAAACAAAAATTTGAACAGGTCTGGACTCAGTGAAAGGTTGTCCACACCTGCGGTGTAGTGACCCAAAAATAGTGCCCCAGCCCAATGGCACGTTCGAAAAAATAGTTCCCCGGGGCACTATTAGAGGAAATACGGTATTTTGATGTAACGCTTCTTTTTCATTCCTGACAAATTGGAACATCAACTTGATCCTGTTATTTTTGGTTATTTGCTGAGCTTGCCCAGCTTACTTTTTCGTATGCAGCAATTGTGTTTTTCTGGCTATTCGTAGCTTTACACGTTGCTTAGGCAGCGGTTTCAAAAAACAGTTTTTTTGTAGGTAGCAAAACAACATTGAATGTAAGATAATGCACACCTTTTATTATTTATTCCCTGTTTTTATCCAGTACACGATTGGGCACATCCTCCAGTGCAGCACACAGCTGGCCAATCACATTGATTGCAACCAAAAAGCTCTGGCTGATTACCATCGTTACCTTCAGGATTCAAAAGAGACGCTGAATTTCTCGGTGGCGCTACTGAAATAGTTTTCTGTTATTCAGTTGCTCAATGGTTGTTACCTTTTGCTGTTGTCGTCGAATTCAAGAAGCAAATCGACATTACAATCATGAACAACAATTGAACGTTCATATTTCTGAAGCTAACTTAGAAATGGAAACGTTATACATATGTCCAGACACGATGAAAAAGGAAAAAACGATGAAGAATTAATAAGTAGTAACAAGAAAACAGAGCTGAATTTTGGGATTCTTTTTATAAAAAAACGTGCATTTACCAAATCAACTAAAACTTTTTAATAAAAACTTTAGTAAAGTCAAAATTTCAAAAAACGTCTCTTCTACGTCAAAGGTGATTTCGGGTGATTTCGCTGCCATTTCAATTAAGTTAACGTTTCCAAGAAATTTATTTAATCAAATGTCAAATTTATCAAGAAGCTTTGCGATTATCAATCTCAAGTAGACAACAGAAAAACGGAACTTTTGCAACTTGGTGTCAAAGGGAAGAATTTGCACACATTTGATTGTCAACGTGATTTTTGTAAATGTTATGCTGAATTTGTCAATAGAAATAACAAATCAACGAGAAATATTGATAGGACTGTATTTAGATCGAAAATTGTATAAAGCGAAGCCAAAAATTGACGTCAATGTGATTCGTTCCACGATCACAGTAGGCAATCACAAGTTACAAAGAAGCGTTTCTTTGAATTGAATTGCGAATTGAATTGAATTGAATTGGAACAGATTAGAATTGGATTACAGTTAGTGAACACTTGTTTTTTTGAATTTCAGTAATCATTCTTGTGTTTAGTTTTTTCTTTACAATTAAATCCTGTTTTTTAATGTTTCGGTATTTATGTTGCAATAAACACTAACACAAAAGCAAGCACATAAGCACAATAAAGTTTCATGTTTGTGCTTTGTTTATCTGTCAGTCAAAATACACATCCTCTATTCTCAAATTGACCAATGTTTGTTCCATAATAGAATCCATGTGCATCCCAATTCCATTGATCCGGTGTTACACTCTTTGAACACGATCTGAAAATAAACATCTACTAAATATATTGGATTGGTGAATTGAAAACTGCGGGCTATTGTCATATGTCACAGTTTGAGCACTTTCTTCAAAAGAAACCCATTTTAGTGTCAATGGAAAAGTTGTAGAGAATCAAAAATTAAGCTTATATACAGGTTTTCAGAACGATTCAAAAACTGATTTTCAAGAAAAAGCCTAATTTTTGATTCTCTACAACTTTTCTATTGACACCAAAATGGGTTTCTTTTGAAGAAAGTGCTCAAACTGGGACATCTCCAGTCCTACATTTTTGAGTCTCACACACAAACCAAAATCCTACTACTAAAGAGGAATCCGCAAATTGCCTGTAAAATGGGCAGAAGTCGTCAATAATAATGGAAATTATTTCGAATGAATTCATGGTTTTATGTTGAATAAATTTTAGTTCAAAGTCCCGCAGTTTTCAATTCACCAACCCAATACAAAAAAAAATTCTGAACTAGTTTTTTGGAACCTTTTAATAAATTGATCTTATTTTTCAAAGTATTCACCTATTCAATTAAAAGATATTCAGTAGAGTTAATTAAGTACAATTAAGTACTTCGAGATTCAAAAGTGAACTCTTCTTTACCTACGGTGATGATTTTTGAATAGTTGAATACTTTGAATTTTGCATATTATGATATATAAATGGCCCACATAGCTTCCCAGAGACAAAAAAACAATTTGCGCCAAAAATTTCAAGTTCTCATCACTTCAAAAACTTTCTTTAATAGGAAATTTCAAGGAAAACCTCACTTATCCTCATTTCCTTTACACACAGTGTATTTGTCGTTAACATTCATCTTGTTTTGATACCAAATCTGAAAAATCATCATATTATGATGAAATTTTCAAGCGATTAATCAAAATTTGTCAAAATAATCACCTCGGTTCCGTGATGCTCATAGTTTTCTATGTTGAATGGAATATGTGGAACGATGTCACTATCATGAACGACACGATATGAATAGGGGATCTAAAAGTGGATGTATTGACATGGCAACGGATCATCAACAATTTACAATTACTGAAATACGAGCGGGAAATTATATTGGAGCTTTTGGTAAAAAAAGCAAAATGTTTGACTGGAGACGGATTCGAACCCTTGACCTCTAGCACTCGGTGCGAGCGCGCTATCCACTCAGCCATTGCGCGCGGCGGGGCCCGTAGGCCCCAAAAAACCAAAAACTCAACATAACTTTTTTTCCTACTAGAAATTTTTTGAAAATGTTCAAAAAAAGCACAATTGCATCAAATTTCAGCGGTGCCTATTTCAACTATTTCCCGAAAGACTCACTCCTGCGCCCGCTAGAGCCCCGACGGACAGATTGACATTTCGAAATTATAGATTAGATACCTTTGTATTGATCAATGTTGCATAATCTTTATCACCATTCCTTGGCTCGCCATATGTGATCAATTTGATCTGAATTCAAACGGGTTTTCAAAAAGAACTAATTTCACCTTATTTCCATCAGCTAATCCAAGCTGGGCCAAGTAACCAGCACACAACGCTGACATTGCTGCTCCCAATGAGTGGCCGGTTACCTGGAAATTTTCTTTCAAAATTATTTAAATTCAGAAATGTTTCGGTGTAAACAGCATTGGACTGAGCTTTTTCCAGGATCAGATCAAGAAAGGCGTCTAGGGAATGCAGCTGAAACAGCGGCAGAATAGAAAACGTTCAAAACAGCGCCGTCAAAATTTCTCACAATCCGAAAAACCAAGCCGGTTCAAACTTTATACCAACAAATTCCTTGCATTCTTGGCTACATGATGGGTAAAACAATTTTTTAAAGAAGTTCATATTTCATAGATAAAATTAGCGTTCAAAATGTGTGTGATACTCAATTGGTCAGTTGAATATCTTTTGAGATCCATTTTGAAGGTTAATTTTATCTATGAAATATGAACTTTTTAAAACAACTTTTTACCCATCATGTAGCCAAGTACGCAAGAAATTTTTTGGTATAAAATTTTAATCGGCTTGGTTTTTTGGATTATGAGAAATTTGACGGCGCTGTTTTGAACGTTTTCTTTTCAGCGCTGTTTTCACTAAATCCTAGATCTAGTGGCTTGGGGTTTAACTGGTTAAATTCATTGTGTCATTTTCATTTAGTTGTTAAGTAAACCACTATTAAATGCATGGCCATCCCCAATTTTCTTTCCATTACATACCCAAACTTCGGCATTCGGATTTTGCTGTCGAAGTGTCAAATAGTCGTCTTTAATTCCGGCATTCCATAATTTCAAGAAAGCGTTGTAGAAGAAATCGGCAACTTTTGAACCACCCGGAAATGTTAACTGAAAAAAAATTCCATGACTTTCAACTTTCAACACAATTGTTTACTTGTTTCCCAAAAAGAATATCGATCGTCTCTAGATCAACCTCGTATGTGCCCACTGAACCTCTAAAATTACATTTCCTTTGTGATTTTTTTGAGTCAAATTTGCCTCCATCCAAGAATGATAGCATTTTTTGAACTTGAAAAGGCTGAGTATCCTGAACATGTCTCGTTGATCACATCACATGGGAGCTCGATTTGTCGTCGTAACTAAAAATTACAAAAAAATTGGTGATAGAAATCGAAATTTGAAAACTCTTTGTTAGTAAATTAATCATTTCCCTTAAGTCACATCACTCACCAGTCCATCTCCAGTTCCACTTTTGATGCAAACACCCGGATTTTTATCAAAAGCCGCCACAGCCAATGGAAACATCACCTAAAACTCTAGAAATACCTATTTTTTTCAATTCATTTCATACATTTCTCGAAAAATCATCCGAATATTCAGCTATGACTCCAAAAAACAGAAATACGAAAATAGGTAAATATAAATTTGATGTCATTTTTGAGAGGTTCGAGAAAATCGGGAATTTTTTGCTTTGAAAAGGCTTTGGCTTTGCCTTTTCGTGAAAAATTTATCAGTAAACTGTGAGTTCGAATTTACGTAGGTTCGCGTTTTCTGATAAGAGAAGAAATATTTTGCTTTACTAGACGATTTTTCATTTAAAAGTTTTCAGATTTTCTCTGATATCTGGACAAATGGTCCATATACCAATCCAAATGATTATTTCAATTCATGGAATGATATCCGTTGTGATTTCAGATTTCGAAAAGCTCCCTGTAAAATAAAAACCCTTCACTGAATAAACTGGTCCTTAAATAACTTCATTATTTATTTATCATTGACCAATTTCAAGTTTTCCTTTAGGTGGATGATTGATAGAAGACATCTCTTCAATGCCATCCTTGGAATTGCAAATTGACGATTGAAGTGAAATAAAACTAAAAGTTACAGCAAAATCCATTTCTCACGGGCAATTACGATCATTTAGATTTCGATTGCATTTCTGAAATATTGAAACTTTTGAATTGTGTGATTCTTTCCTTTGCACAAAAGTAGCACCAAGCAGTCTCAAGTGCAGCCAAAAAATTTTTAGCTTTCTGAGGACTTTGGGAAAACAAAAAATGTCGAATTGTAATCCCAAATGTAACCTCCAACTACATAATTGAATACGTCTCAAATAACCAAAAACCAAACAGTTTCTTTCATTAGAAAGCCTCATCATTTTTCTTGCAAATGACTTTTGAAAGTTATTGAAAAGCTTTGTTTTGAAGGTTTTTCATTAGAAAGAAGCCGAGCGTTCAAAAATGACGAGGTCCGATGATGCGATTTGGATTAATTCTTCTAATGAAACCTATTTTGATGACAAAGTAAAAAAGATAGCGCATAAAAAGTTAGGCCTATAGCTAAAATTTGAGAATAATCCGTTTAGCGGTGTTCTTTATGTGTGATCGGTTCGAGCCCAGTGATTTGTGGAGGATTTAGATTCAGAAAATTAACCCCCATGAAAATTCAACTTTAACCTATAGAAGCATGTTATTTATCCTCTGCAATGGATCCTGGAAATGAATCTCAATCCAACATGGGATCATTTGAATTGTTAGTACTTAGCATCAGACCTCTTCCAAAGCCGTGCTTGTACAGCAATTATTTTTATAATATGACCGAAACCCATCCTAAATTTTGATTCAGAATGGAGGTAAGATGTTTTCTACTAAATTCCGTAAGGTAAGGTAATTCCGGAATCTTCTGATAAGAAAAGCATTAAATTTCAAGCGGCTTTTGACCATTTTCACGGTGGATTTAGGGATATTGAGATCCAAAACTCAAAAGTCTTAATTTCTAACAGGCTTGCTTCTTTTTTTCCGCTTTGGTGAAATCAGTGAACACAGTGAAGAAGACGCACAATTGGACGATATTACAAGTCTTATCTCTTCGTCGAGTCAGAACACCACAAATGATCCATCTACCAGTTCTTCACAAACTTGATAGCATATTGCTGCTAATAAATTGTATTTAAATCTTTGTAAATGTTTATTGGGATATTGATGAAAGACGGTACCACGTTCAGTTTATAAAAATCGTCAGCTTCCGTAATCGTGCATCTTCTGGCAAAATCTCAACTTAATTTGGCAATTCAAATATTCTGGCTATGAGCATGACCTTGTGAGAATTTAATTTAATTTAATTCAATTCAAATTAAGTCATTCAAACAATACATAAAGCATGAAAAAAACATGAAAAAAAAGTCACAAACGATCAGGTAAAAGAAGAGTTTTTAGGTAGATTTTGACTTACACAAAAAGCTATTCATTTCTGAAACGATTTTTATGGTCAAAGACCACAAATGTAGCTTTTTTTTTCCGTTCTATCCCACTCCTTCGATTAATGAGAGCGAAAGCTGGCTTGTACTTTGTGCTTGAAGAAACGCACGGTTTCTGGTACACTAAATCCCCGTTTCGCCTAAAATAAATGGTGCGCTAGATGCTTTGCGTTTGAGAGGTGACCCCAAAGTACGAATAGATTGGGTATGCTTTGTACTCTTGAGTCATTCATTTTCAAAAATTGATGCTTTACCAAACAGCTTAGGTTTGTTAAAGCCCAAAGTACTCACCGGATTCTCTATCTTTACTGATGAAAAACACAAAAATAAGGTTATTCAACCGGTATTTGAAGAGTAAATAAAAAGAAAAGTAAATAAACGAAAAATGTTTGGCAATTCTATCCAGAAAACGGATTTGCGGCGGGCTTTGCCATTGGAAAGTTGAGGCGACGCACACTTCTAATACTAACAGTCACCTCTTCAACTACAACACAATTGGAACGATTAACTATTGACGAAAATTTGCATAACGCACTTCATTTCTTTATTTCTTCCAAAATTCCCCCAAAGCCCCAAAGTCTTCAAGGTTTTTCAAAAATTTGTATTTTTAACCTTAAAAAAGTTGTCAAATCAAAAATTCTGCTCACACTCCCGATTACCCCGATTACATGTGCCGGACATCGGAATACTCAACTGGTGAGCTTAAAACTTGGTAACAGACACACAGACGCACAAACAACTTTTCAAAATTATACTATAGTAGACAATCTTTAATCTGCAAGTAAATTTCTACTCTGACTAGGGAGAGGCTACCACTTAAGGTGGAGTTTAAGCTTAAAGAATGGTACCCTGATAGAGTTTGACGCGGGGAATCCGAATCCGTTTTTAGTTTTTCCTGCAGACGTCTCAATCGGCAGATATGTGGCATCAAAGTTTTTACATTGGAATTTAGGGCGCTTTCTAAGGCTACAATTTTAAACAAGTACCTAAGTTAGTTTAGTTACATTTTATACTACCATTTATAAGCTTGAAGACTTTCAAGTTCTTGTTGAACCCAGATGTGTGATTGGGGAAACTGTGGTTTGTTTTGTGTGAATTCCGGCAAACTAAGATTTAGACTTACTTGTACTTGTCACTATTGGAAGACGATGAACGCAGAGAGCATGATTTCGAGGATTCAAAGCGATGTTGGACTCATTAGGGAGAGGCTACCACTTAAGGTGGAGTTTAAGCTTAAAGAATGGTACCCTGATAGAGTTTGACGCGGGGAATCCGAATCTGTTTTTAGTTTTTCCTGCGGACGTCTTAATCGCCAGTTATTTGGCATCAAAGTTTTTGGCATTGGAATTTAGGGCGCTTTCTAGCCACGGTAAACGCTCCATCAGTGGTCTCGAGGTAACGCAGTGGATTCATAGTCAAAAGCTCTTGGTTCAGATCCGGCTAGTACCGAATTTTTTTGCTTTTTTTCTAAAAGAAATGCACATAGTAAAAAAATGTAACTAAACTAATTTAGATACTTTTTAAAAGTTCAATTTTCAACACAATGCACAAGACACAAAAAAAATCAGCATTGATGATTTTGCTCGAACGCAGCATCAATGTTTTGAAGCGAATCATTCTGCGATGAGGTGGCTTTTATCCCTCGATGTGAAGAATATTTTTGCCTTTTATGCTTTTTCCACTTTATGGATTAATGCTGATTTTTTTGTGTCTTGAGTATTGTCTTGAAAATTAAGTTAAAAAAGCAAATGTGATGTGCTGTTGGCAATGAGTTCGATCTTTATTCCGAATGGGGTTCGACCAAAAGCAAACTTACTACAACAGTCAGCACAATTGTCTGTAAAGCTTGTTGTTCTTGAAATAAAGTTTTAGCATGAATTCAGCTTCAAAATGTGAATCTTCAAAAAAGTATGGATATTTTTGTCACACTCTATATTAGTCGAAGAAAGTTTGGAGCTCGGACGAGTGTCGAAGCGTGTAATCCCCCGCGTAAATGGCAGATTAGTCAGTTCTGATAGTGAATGACACAAAAAACTTGATAAAACACCAACTTAGTGTTTTCTATATTTTTTCTATATTTCTAAATTCTATTTTTATGCTTGTTTCGTTTTTGATCACTTTTTGTGTACGTTTCCTTGAAGCGCAAAAAATCTCAAAAACTCTTTACGATCCACCAAAAGTCTTTAATCTCACCGAGGAAGGACCATCATTTGCAATTCTTGGAGAGCGTTTAGACGAGCTGAAGGTACAAGAACAGAAAGTGTTTCATAAACAAATCTTAAATAATTCTTCTCAGTCAATAACCATCAATGGATGTATCGGATGTGTTTTCATCGTTGATTACTCTTTTGATAATTGCAGTGATGTGCCAAAAGATGACGTAAAGATTAGCCAGAAGCTTTTAGCAATCTTTTTAGACACAAAATATCGAACATATTCGCCCCTGTTTTGACCCACCGCCTTTCACAATTGTTGACCATATGGTACGCGATGAGCAATGCAAGTTGAAGTAACGTTTTTGATTATAGGACATTCCCCCTTTCCCCTTGGCAACCGAACTTTGAGCTCAAATTTCTTGATGTTGGTCCATCCAATTTCAATAGCTTTTGTTCCAATCGACAGTGAATGACTTGACGCATCTAATGATACCAAGAATATTTAAATTGAACAGCCCAACTCTAAGATATTTAAGCTCAAAGTTAGATTGGGAACGACAGATTGCCGATAGCCAACATGTTTTCCTGTCAAACAGAAAAGAGACTTTAGAGCTCGATTCGTATCAATGCAATTTATTTTACAATCCTCGCTCTACTATTGCACTTTTCAACTCAATGCCAAGCAACTGTTTGTCGAAACAAACAATTCAAACAGTGAACGTAACTATGCGATCTCGTTCCGAATTCGGCAATGGGTGAATGGTAAGTTGACTTTAGAAACATTAAAAGAAATTGAAAGAATATCTTTTGCATTTTCCAATTGAGCGTAGCATCTCTTTTCAGAAAACAATCTCTTGGTGGTTCCTATTACCTGGCTGACTTCTTCAAATGTTGGCAAAGTGGTGGTGGATGCAGGGTGGATGGTCACCGTTGTCTCCGATCGAGCTGTCGATGAGAATTCGTTCGTATTTGAGATTTTACGTCGAGAAAAGACAGGATAGGACAAATTTCATTTTGAGCCTTGTATCATTTCTAGCAACCAGCTGTCGCTGGCGGATGTACGGGAAAAAACCCGGGGCACCGTGAAGCGAATGGACCCCGCGGGGTCCATTCGCTCCGCGGTCGTCTTGGGAATCTAGGGATCAAGGGTTCGATTCCGGGTGCGGCCAGAAAACATGCACAAATTTGAGCTTTCGAAAAACGCTTGTGCACATGTCCCCTTATTTTTATTTTCTATCTGCTGCCAAATTTTCAGCCAATTCGGGGGAACTGAGATTGAAAAACGGTAATGGTAATGGTAACAGACAGATAGACAGATAGACGGGCGGATGCGTTAGACTTTTAGATATAAGTAGGATATTTTAGTTCTTTCCTGGTATCGGGGACTTTTAAAGATATCGAGAATTTTTAAAAGATATCGGGGATCTTAAAAAATATCCGGATTTTAGTTCGAGCAAATTGACATGGGTTTAGGTACTTCTGTCTACCGCTAGCTACCTGTGCCTGCTAAACTTTTTACCCGATCAGTCTTATATTTAGCATGTGTCTGGCCAGTACTCTAGCGCTCGCGGAGCCATAGATTAGTTGCAGTGAACAACTTTTGTATTTCCCTCTGGTTATGGCTTTGCACGTCCAGGCTAAGACAAGCCCAGGGCTTTGTAATATTAAAAGGCAAAAGCTTGCTGTTAGCAGACCAGCTCTATAATGCTAATTTACCACCGCGTTATTTTGCCTTTAGAATGAATATCTTCAAAAAACTCCGATAGTTTTTAAAATTCCGATACTAGGGGAGAATCGATATTTCTTAGTTCTCGATCTAATAAATGAATAGAGGTATAATCTATGGACCACGCATGGAAATAAGTGTCTACTTAATGGTGGATCTTCAACTCGAACCTTTTGACCAGGTTGGTTACCTATCAAAGTTAGGAAAAATATATCGAAAACTGATCGAATACAATCCAGCAGCAAATAACTTTGCTGTCTTCCCTAAATTTTCAACTTAGCCAGACGCCTCGTGCCAAGGCAACGTCATGTACAAGTTCTTTCTCGGTTCAGCGCCAAGTAAGCACCAGGAACCACTTACCGATGTTGATTTTTATAAGTAAACTTTGGCTGGCTTTGGTTGTGTACTTTTGAAAAAGCAGAATTGCCCAAATTTCCGCGAGAACGAGAGCCGCGACAGTTTTCACCGAGGCGAATTGCTCTTTTGTCTTGAGATTCTTCCCTGCATTTGATGGTTTGTAAAGAAAGAGCACGAAAACATGGAACTTACAGGATTTGACGATAGTTTTATGATAGACTTGAACTATCCACAGTTTCTCACCTCATACAACTATCCGTGGATTCACGACGATCCAAGTGAATTTGCGGATTGTCAACTGTTTCAGTCAAAATATGGAGATGAGCATGTAAATTTTTCTTCTTTTTAATCAAAATTTGATACTCGTCCCCGAAATTGATTGATCTATTATTAGAAATGCAAATTTTGGAAGCTATTGGATTGGTGAATTGAAAACTGCGGGCTATTGTCATATGTGACAGTTTGAGCACTTTCTTTAAAAGAAACCCATTTTGGCGTCAATGGAAAAGTTGTAGAGAATCAAAAATGAAGCTTATATCCAAATTTTCAGAACAATTCAAAAACTGGTTTTCAAGAAATGCCAAATTTACGAATTTTCACAAAACTTGCATTTTAAGCGAAACTACTAAGTGTATCTTTTTGGAAATTTGGATATAAGCCTAATTTTTGATTCTCTACAACTTTTCTATTAACACCAAAATGGATTTCTTTTGAACAAAATGCTCAAATGCTCAAACTGGGACATCTCCAGTTCTCCATTTTGGAGTCTCACACTTGTCTCACACACAAACCAAAATCCTACTCCTATCAGGAATCCGTAAATTGCCTGTAAAATGGGCAGAAGTTGTCAATAATAATGGAAATTATTTGGAATGAGTTTATGGTTTTATATTCAATAAATTTTAGTTCAAAGTCCCGCAGTTTTCAATTCACCAACCCAATATAACTGATTTCATTAAGCTTAATTAAGTTATTAGCTCAATAGATTTAATTAAGCTATAACTCTTGTACTTCAATACTAATTTTACAAAATGCAATTGATCCAATAAGGATATAGCCGACTAGCACCCAAAATTCTTTTGCTTTAAACTTTTTCAGTCACTCGCGGAAAGTCGTGTCTCTGTGCGTGTGATTGCACTCGAGAATGGAGTTCTCGAGTTGATCTCAGCAATCGGAGATGGTTGTGATACAATTAACTTCACAATTCCGTTTGTTATTTTATGAATGCAAAAATGAACTTGTTACAGCCTCACGGAGAAACCAGAGGAAGCCATCGAGATTTTTGCGCCTTGTTTCCTGATCGGCTTTTGTCCGATCTCAACCGATAAACGTTTCGGTTTTATTGCCGAGCTCAACCTTGCTCCCACCGACCCAGAAGCAATCGATTGCGGATCTACGATTTTTTTGTCGCCAACTGAGCCGCAAATAATGCTTCAAGGAGATTCATTACTAGAGGAACTCAGTAAATTGAATGCCTTGTTAACGATTTTTCCAGTTGCATTTAGCTTATGCTGAAAAGTCAAACTATTAGCCTCTCCAGAAAGTCTTTTCGTTTTCCTTTTCGTATTTCGGTTGAAAAATCACAAATTCACCAATTAACCTATGGTTTGCTCTAAATAAAAAGTTTTTATTATTCAATTTCCCATCTTTTTAAGTCAATTTCGGTTCACTTTCAATCAAATTCTACGTGTTTTTCGTAAAAATCTATAAAAATCTATAAAAACCTCTATGAAGAAATTAGTTGAATCAATTTCTCTGAAAATTTCGCTATATATCTAACTTTTTGTGCTCTACCTTTTAGCAGAATAGGTTTACTTAACTAAAGTGTCTAAACTGTATCATCGAGCCGTCTTTTTGACTACCCGACTGCATGCTCTCAAAAAAATCCAGACATAAGACATTTTCAACTCATTTGAATTTTATTTTACAGAAAAATAATTGGCTTTCCTAATGAAATAAACTGTAGTTCAATTGGTGCCATTGTTGGTTTTAAACGGAAGTACGAAAAGGAATGAAAAGACTTTCTGGACAGCCTAATAACTACAAACAGGATAAATATTTTGCCAAAAGTATTATAAAACTGAATTTAGCTAATCCTTTTTGTATAAAAACGGTTTGTCCAGCTAAAGATTTGTATTGCAAAATGATCTTCGATTGGGTGATCAATTGTAGAACTGAAGAAGTGGTCAGTGTAGAAAAAGATAGGTCCAGCATCTGTTAAGTTCAGGAAGAATACTTATCAGCACGACTTGTTCGAATCAACGGTGTCTATCGTCAGTTTGACAACTACACGATACGGTCTGTTTTCCAATAAAGCACAAAACACTCGTCTACAGAACGTCAACCAGAAACAACACTGTCAATCTCTCGACGCGATTGGTCGTCGACAACATGATATATTTGACGGCTAGCTGGGACAGCGACACATTTGTCCAAGGAATCGCTTTCTCATTTCGTCGAGCCGATATCGAAATGGGTATGTAAGATCGATATCTAACATTTTTCAAATCTAGCAACAATCTCAGAATATGACTCCATCTTTTTCACCATGGATGTCTACCAGGAGAGTATCTATTATCGGATTGAAGCCGCAGATGTGCCGATTTGGGTCGTTTTTGTACTCTGGGACGATGGTCCGCTACTACTCGAGAAGTTTCGCTGGGTGAACCATAATAAACTTATGGATTAATAAATTCGGGAGCAGAGTTATTCAAATCTGGGCTTTAGAACCTGTGGAGTCTGGCTAGTGAAGAGGTCAGAAGTGAAGCTTAGATTTCAGGAACTTGTCAGCGCTGACTTTACACAAAACTTTTCACTTTCAACAACAGTATTCTAGGATCGATACACTGGCAATGGTTGTGAATATAAATTGTTCATCGGTCCACCAGCCGCTATTAAAGCTCATCCGGAGAGAAATTTCACCATCTACAGGTGATTTCCGTCTTTATCAGCTCTTGGCCATTAAATTGCTAATTTTTGTTAAATTTAGAGATGTGAACGCATTCATTCCTCAAGATTTCACAAACACAAGAGATTTCAGCATTCTCGTACCACCCGGATGTGCTCCTAGTTTCGCGTTGACGTCAGTTGAAAGTGGATTTCAGATTTCAGCTTTTGTTCTTTCTACTCGAATTTTGTCTCATACAATGCATTCTTTATTTCTGCATCAAAATGAGAGCAAAATTCAGTAGAATAAGAAAATTCTAAAAGCAAGATTTCGGGATTTTGATGTAATTTTCCAAATTTCGGGGCAAAACACGACAATTTGTGACGGCGAGACGTTTTTGATGAGTGACGGATTGATGAACCCGCATCGCTTTTCGCATCTTTGCACTGAATACACCAATTTGTTTTATCACTGTGGTGAGACTGTTTATTCATTGAATACCAATAAACAAAACAAATGATGAGTTACTTTTTAAAGTTTTCTACTATCAAATTTGTTTAGATGCACATCCAGTGAACATCACAGTCAACTTGATCTCAATCGATCCCGAGGGAGCTCTTTTTCTAACTTTCTACGATTTTGAGAATACGATTTGGACACAAAAGTTATTGTTGATTTAAACGAAAAGCTTATTTGCAAATTTAGTGTTACTGACGCTCCACAAATTTTTCAGCAAGGAAAAATTCATGGCGTTCAGGTGAATCGTAAACAAATTTGTATAATACAGCTGATTCTCGATATAAAGAATGCTATTTTTGTCCTGATGAGACAAAATAACTGTACTTGTACTCTTGTACTTCTTTTTATTGACTAGCGATTGTATAAGACAAATGTTACCCTTATTTCAGCTCAACTATAAAGTAAATGGGGAGTGTGACTACGACATAATCGGATTCTTTTTGAAAATAACTGTGGAAAGAAGTGATGCACTTGTTCTTGATAACTCAACAACTCTGCCAACAAAGAATTCATCAAAGAAAATCTCATTTATGGATTACTGTTTAATTTCAATCTTTTTATGGGTGTTATAAAAGAAGAAAGTTCAGATTGAAGCTGTTTATGCAAGCACAAATCAAAAACGAGAACAAACCTTGTACAGAATAGACCTGCTTAACGAGTCCGGGCAAAATTTTCAGAGAATCTGTCTCGCTCTTCGATCTTTTACTGCCCAAAGCACTTTCGAGCATGAAACCCAGTTCCCCCGCAAGCCCTTATTTTAGGCTTCGTTTTTATACCAAAAATAGCTAGGTTCTGTTTTGCCATTCTTTAGATTTCGATCAATCTTTCGTCGGACCCGATAAGAGTTCCGGACTTGATGAGCTTAACAAGTCCAGAAAAATTTCTGTCTAAAATGATCGAAATCTAAAGAATGAAAAACAGAACCTAGCCATGTTTAGTATCAAAATGTAGCCTAAAATAAGGGCTTGCGGGGAACTGAGTTTCATGCTCGAAAGAGCTTTGGGCAGTAAAAGATCGAAGAGCGATGCAGACTCTCTGAAAATTTTGCCCGGACTCGTTAAGCAGATCTAGTACATAGTTTAGCAGGAATTTAAGGCAAAAAAAATCCCGTTCATTCCGGTTTAAATCAGCCAAAAATCTAAAAAACAATGATTAAATCACTTAAAAAGTTACCTGACTTTTAAAGGAAATTGGCCGAATTTTCGACCTTAAATCGGATACATCAACAATGTAAATTTCTTGCATAAAAGTAAACATTCTCGCCAATATAATGCCTTTTAATTACGATCGCCAATGTGTAGATTCTCTTTTGAGCGCCGGAAATTCGCCTCTCGAAGCACGCTTTCCTCACAAATGGTTGCCAGTTTTCATTTCCATTGTAATGCTCACAAAGACACTCATGATCACCATCCAATTGCTTTTCATAGTACAATAAAGATTGAGCTTTTTCATAGAAATTCCTTACATTGTACAAGTCTTCTCTGATCCCCTTTTCGTAAATCAATAATTTGAAAGTTCCGTCCAAATTTTCACTTGGTATCCCATTTTCAAGTATACATTTGATTGATTCAAGGAAAATCTTTGTCTCAAAAGTCGCACAATGAATCCGTTCGATGTTGGTTTGCTTTAAAATCGGAAAAATCTTTGGAATCTCAATGTTGCAAAAGAAAAAGTGACAATTTCTCAAGTTTCGAATGATCCATTGAGAGAAAAGCTCGAAAATTTCCCCTTTCACGTTATCGATTTTCATTTGATCAAAGTAAATTGAGCAAATATCGGTGACTTCGACTTGAAAACTTTTCATTTGTTTCCATGCTTTTGGATGATCAGCATCAATTTTCATACGGCAAATTGAGCGAATCATTGGCAGATATTTGCGCAGATCAAATTTTTCTTCATCAAAAATTTTCTTTTCATTTTTAAGCTTAACTTCTTCAATGCAGAAATGAAGATTCAAATTTCGCCAACGACAAAATTTTCGAAAAATCAAATCATTTTTTTCGATCCCTTTCAATAAATAGTCGGCTTCTTGAGATGCAAATTCATCTTCTTCTCTCAAAATTTTCACATCAATCCCCGTTAAAGTGTTTTCATGGGTAAATGAACGGATTTGATAGCATGAATCACTAAGATTATCGATTGTAATCCCATTTCGAATGAGTTGATTCCGTAAATATCTCGAAACTCTCATCAATTTGAAATTTTCTTCAACATGAAGATGACGCAGAATGGCCAATCGAATTTCTGGAGGAAATCGCAAGAATGAAATCTTCGATTCACCAACACTTTCTTTCGATCTTCCAAAACGACGCCTGAGTTTCTCGAAAAAACCCATTTTCGATCGATAGATGTAAAATAGGAAAAGAATGAAAAATAAGAAGCCAATAAAGCACATACTGAGCCATGTCGGAAGAGATAACAATCTTGCAGGTCATCTCGAAAAAAGCTTGGGAATTAATCAGATGTGAGCTTGGCTCGAGTCCAATTTATCCCGGGTGAACAAGAATTTTTCCAGTAATTGCTAGAAAATATTTCAAATTCTTCTCTGTTTGACAAACTCATTTCATTTCATTGAAAATCTCTTTAAATCCAGATTTTGATTCGTTCAAAACGATCTGATTTAACAAGTTTTTGAAAGCCAAATTTCTAAGCCAAGCAAAGGTTAAGTCAATTAATTTTCCGTAATTCAATGCCAAATAGAATCGAATACAAGATTTTAAGGAAAATTTGATCGAATTCAATGGCAATTTTGAAATTCCAGGCTAATTTATGGTATTCTTTGAGCAAATTTTATCAATTGCGTTGTAATCATTCGTTTATAAGCTTATGTGGCCGGTGACTTTTGATAAACTAACATATCAAGTGCTAAGAGAAAGAGTAAAGTTGAGATAATCGATTTAATTGGAAAACCAAGAGATAAAACTGAACAAAATTGTACGCTTTGAAAGTAAACCATTGATTGGTTGCCTGCAGAACTTTTTCTGAAATGACTTTTAAGAATTGGTAGCTTTGACTCTTGTTGCAGCTGATTTTACAATAAAACCTGTTGAACTTGTTCGTCAAAGGTCATGCTGTTTATTGATAGAGCAAGATCGGCAACTAACTTCAAACAAGCCAACACGAGATCACAATAAAGTTGAAAAAGAATTTAATTTTGGTCACCACTCGATTTTCGTACCTTTATAGAGTTTCTTGCATTTCGAGAGTGACGAGGTGCCAGTTTTCTCACCCAATTCTTCCATTGCTCTCAATACCTGCAAAGCCTTTCGCTTAACAGCCGTAAGTCTTTCAAAGAAGCCAAATAATCTACCTATTATATCTGTTCGTTGATCTTTTCAATCACTCTTTATATTTCAATGTGTTTTTTGTGAAAACCAACCACATCAAGTTGCTCTTTTGTGTGAGCGTTTGAAACGCAAAACCGAATCCGTCCTTCTGTCATATCGGTTGCTGGATGAGAGACAACCACCGTTCCAACACCACGTACCAACATTTCTCGGCCATAATAACTGAAACATTGTTGAAAATGAACTTTACTCAACACAAAGTGCTAAAATCCAAAGGTAAGTCCATAGAAAATCTCCGCAATTTGATGTTTGGCTTTGAGCTAGCTTTGAGCGAGCTGCCCTAAACACTCTAATGACGGGCGTACAATTGCGTAGTCTAACTTTGAACGTCCAGTTCTCCGCGCTGCTTTAAGATACAGTGTGCGCTTGGATTTCAAATGATAGCCCTCGAAATCTAGTATTTTTTTGGTACCAAAAGTGTAGTTGGGAAAAATCTAGAGGCTGATTTTCTTTTATTAGGCGTTTTATTAGAGCATTTACGGTATTCGACTCTTTCAGTTAGGCTCACCCGCAAACTGTTGGTGCATAAAGAATTACGGGCACAACGGGACTGTCATCTGATCCATAAACGATGTAACCGAGTTGTTTAAGACGAAGCCGGAAATATCGGGAATTCCTCGCGAGACGCTCAATTCGAGACTCTCCTGAAACAATTTAGTCATTGTTTCTTCGTTTTTGAAACCATCTTTTGTCCCATCAAGTCCCATAATGATCGACATTGATGTGTAGATTTGTTCAACAAGTGCAGGTGAGATTGGAGTTGAATAGCAACCGGTTGGGGAGGAGACGCGTAAATGATCGATGATCTTCTGCAAAAAGAAAAGCTCTTTGGAGCCTGGAATCAAAAAGATTTTGAACTAAAGTTGTGATAAACCAAAATTTCAAGGCTAACTTTAGCTTTTCTCTTCTTTCTCAGTCTTCTCTTTAGAGAAAAGTTTCCCCTTCATTTACCTAGTTTGACTCACCTTTGAACCAGCAATGTATCCACCAACTGCACCAAAGCTTTTCGAAAAAGTTCCCATCAAAATGTCAACATCTTTCGGATTGCAACCCCAATATTCTACTATTCCACGACCCGAGCGGCCCATTGCACCTGTGAATTGAAGAAAACATCAAACGTGAACACTCACCGATTGAATGTGCTTCATCGAGATACAGATAAGCGCCATATTTCTTCTTCAATCTGATGATTTCGGGAAGATTTGCTATTGAACCTTCCATTGAATAGATTCCTTCAACGATGATTAAGATCTAAAGAAACTATTGAAGTTCAAAGTCAGAACTCTTAACTTTGACAAACTAACCTTTGTATAAGGTTTGTCGGTTTTCGGATTACCATAAGCAATAACGTCCCTGAGAGTCTTTTCCAAAGATTTCATGTCTGAAAAGAATTTGTTTCAAAATATTTTGGTAATTACCATTATGCTTGAAGACTTTTATTGTTGCACCAGATAGACGAGATCCGAGAATCAATGAAGCGTGATTACGTTCATCAGATACAATGACTGAATGCTGAAATAGGAATGATTTGTAAACACTGACAAAAGATAAATCTTTACCTTGTCAACGAGAGCTGGAGCATTCATTGAATTTGTGGCAAATCCCATTGAAAAGCAAATCGCATCGTCGACACCAACAAATCTCGCTACAAGCGCCTCTAGACGAACCAATGAAGCAGAACGGCCTGAAAAATGGATGCATAACTGTCGATTGTAAAAAATGCATTATCTCAGGTGCAATTATTCTCAAAAATCTAAATTCTACCATTTTCGTGAATCGAACAACAAACGGCGACTCCTTCATGGTCAATTTTTGCCGCCGCAGCATCGGCACAAGGCCCTTCGTTTTGAGCAAAGCCGAGATAATTGTATGAGCCAAGATTGATAACTTCGGTTTGAGTACCAGTGTACCTGAAATGTTTTTGGTATACAGGGTGCGCCATAATTGTCGCAACAAGATAAAATTCCGATTTTAAGGCAGACAAGAGCGAAAAAGACAAATTTTTAACTGAATAACATATATTGTACATTAACAATTATAAATGAACTATCAAATTCGAATCGGCCACCATTAGTATTTGAGCGTTTCGAGAAGGCGTCAACGGTGACGACAAAATAGACTGGATCGAGCTCTTCCCACGCTTTCAACAGTGATTTCTTCAAGCTTTCGATGTTTTTGTGGGGCTTTGAAGAAGCTTTGGCTTCTAGAACACTGAAAAATTCATTGGGTTGAGGTCTGGAGAGCTAGGTGGCCACTCAGAAAAGAAATGAAGTTTGGGAAGTTGTTTTGGCAGAACTCTTGGACTTTCTTGGATTTGTGGGCCGGTGCGCCATCTTGCTGATAAATCCAAATGCAATTTCCAAAATGTTTACGAGCCTGAATGCTTCTGCAATTTCTAAAATGCTTGAAATCGCTATCTTCTTTGTCATTTGCCTTGCCGACTGGTTTGGCCTCTTCCGAATTCGGTCCCTCACTCGCTTAATGTTTGTCTTTGTGACGACAGTTGGGTGTCTACCGCTTCTTGATGCATCAGCAATTGTTCCCGTAGCTTCGTAGCGTTGAATCATGCGGAAAATGACACTTCTGTCGACTTTAAGACGCTTATGATTCTCCGACGCCGAGACTCCTCGCTCGTGCAATTCGATGATCGATTGTCGATGGGGATTTTCCAGCCATTCTCAAAAAAACAACAAATTTTATATGAAAAAAGTTTCAATTATATTTCAAATATAATAAAAACACAAAAAAAACCAGAAATGAAGCTTAAATTAACATGGCTATTGTCCTTGAACGCGCGTGATACCTTGTTGCGACAATTATCAGCGTACCCTGTAGTTAAATGTCTTGATAAACAATTGACTTGCCATACAAAACCCACTTGAAACTCCAATAACCGTCATCGGTGTATCGATCGAGAAGATTTACCTGGAAAAACGAAAATTTCATAAAAAAACACTAAAGCTGCTGGTATTTTTGCAATTTTTAACACTTTTCCGAACATTCGTTTGTTTGAAACGAATTTTTGGAGAAATGTGATGTGAGTATCAGCTAACCGTTGCACCAGGAGTGCTCGCAATCGGCCTCTCGAATGCGTCACGTACTCTCACGTACATGTCTCGTTGATATAGAGAGTCGAAATTGCTGAACAGTGGAACGAAATCCTGTAAGCTGTTAAAAATATTGTTTTTATTAAGTTACTGACTTTTTGCTTTTCCAACTCAACTTCCAAATGATTCTTCTCGAAGCCCCATTGACGGAGAGAGCGTCTGAATCACTATCAGTAGCATCAACAATGATATTACAATCTAGATCAACTTAGAAGATTTGAAATAACGCAGAGAATAACGTATAGAATAGCGCATAGGATAACGCATAATATAATAAGTTTCGTACCTCAGATACGCGAACACGATCAGGGTAAACCAGCTGATGAAGACAGTGAGCGCTCTCAAACGGGAGACCTGAGAATGACTCACAAACTCACAACTTTTGAAATTAAAACCTTTTCGAATTCATTCGGTGATCGTTCTCTCGTTTTCCAGTTGTACCCATTTGTGTAGGCTTTTCCATTCACGCGCAATTCATGTGAAACCCCATTTGAAGCTGCTGATTTCTCAGAACAGTCCTGAAGCATCATTTAACAAATGTTTAACAAATCCATAATACGCAACAATTTAGCTTACTCCAAGATAGGTGAAAACTAGTCGGTTAAAGTGTACCCTGAGAGTTACTATGTCTTTTTGATATACCTGTTCATTTCTTGGTTCATCCGAATGTTTCAAAATGCCAGTTCTTGTAGTCAGTTGCCTAGTACTGGAGTTAAGATCAATGAAATGGCTAAAGCCAAACCTGGTCATTCTTAAAAACAAAATAAAATAGTCAGTTTGAGAAATTCAAAGTGTTCGTGGCAGAAATGTAAAAGAAGTGAGATGAAAGGAATACGCTGTTCACACATTTCCCTTTCGCTTTTCCTCCTTTTCTTAGCTTAGCCTCTTTTCCTTTTTTATTCATCACTCCAAAAAAAGAAACGATAAAGATAACATTGGCAAGGTTTTTAGGCTCTTTCTTGCCGTGCCGTGACTCGTCATTAATGGAGCTAAACCAAGAAGGTGAAAAGCTTTCTGATTTCTGATTCGTAGTAAAAAAGTTGTGGAAAAAGTGATCAGAAGTAGAAACAGATCAGAATTTACACGCAAAAAGCATTGTGAAACATTTTTTGCACTTTTAGTCACACAAAATTTTTGTGAACTTTTAAAAATCACAAAAGGTGGTACAGTTTGCGTTTTTTCCATCACAAAGTTTCAGTCAATTTTTCAATTTCAACTTCAACAATATGATTTGCCTGTTTCTGTGCAAATTTCCATGACTCGTTCACTCATTTTTTTCTCCAAATCTCTCAAATCCTTTTTTGAGATCGAAAGATTGATATAAACAAAAGTGGAACACCCAAAAAACCCCCACTTATCATTGATCAAATGGAAAATCTTTTCTATTTTTGACTTTTGCTTTCTTATCGTTTTCTGATGATGAGGCGGCTGAAGGTTTGCTGGTTATCAAATTCTATGATTCATCAGGGCAAAGTTTTACGTTTCACAACCAACGCACTTTTACAACTCAAACGATAATGTCATTTGACAACAAAGATGCAAGATATTCTTAAGTTTACTGACAAAAAAAAGAATAAATTCAGCGAGCTGCCAAACATGCTCAAAAACAGATCCTCCCGATGTTGCAAGCTTCAGCAAAGATCGGACAGGTTGTGTCTTGAGGAGCCAAAAGTGTATCAATTTAGAAATCTAACAAGTGGCTGCTTGATCCGGAAAATCACTTGCAATCGCCGAAACTATGTGGTGAGTAAGTCTTGAACTTAATTCACTTAAACTGGTTTACAAACATTCTTAAGCCGAAACTAGCAACTATTCTCTATTCAGATCTACCGTTCACCCAACGAAAAGCCAAGCTGACCCAAACTTGGTACTCGAGTGCAACAAGGACTCAAAATGGGTGATAAGAGATGAAGAATGGATCGTTGATAGTGTTGATTGTCATAACTCTACCCAACCGGTTTGCTTTTTTAGCAAAACCACCAAAACCAAACTTTAGAAAAAGCCATAAACAGTGTGTGTGCTGAGCAAAGAATCGGGAATGTGCTTGTAAGATTTAACTTTGGTTTTAACAATTTTTCACATCTAGAACTTATATGCCAAGCTGATAATGCAGCCAAAGAATGCAAAGAATTTGTTGATGGAGGATGTGGAGGAAATGGGAATCGATTCAGGACTAAAAATGAATGCGAAAGCGCGTTTTCGGAAAAGGATTGATCGTTTGAAAGAATAAATTTTACATTCAAATTCGTTTCAAAACAGAAATTACCTCATTTTCTGTTCTCGTCTAACTGAATCTGTTCTGACTAGAAGATGAATAGAACAGATGAATATGGCTAACGATAGTTTAACAATTTGAAGATAGTGCTTAAATTCAGATTTGTCATTCAAACTTTACTAGAGATAAGGTTACAACTCAATTTAAACTTAAAAACTCGAAAAAGCAAAGGAAAAGAGACGGAAAAGACCAGTCACTGTTAGAAAGATTTTTGAATACCAACTCCAGTATATCACTGCAGTGAAAAGTGATCATTTTTCTAGTATTATTCAGCACAATCTGAAAAATCTTATATCTTTTAGCATTCGTTTTGCTTGCTGTTCTCGGTAATGATGTGGAAAAAGGTTTGATCACCATAGTCCAATCCATGGTTCTTATTTTACACCAGTACCATTCAATAAACAAAGCTTTTTCTTTTTTCATTGAGGTGTTGACTAATTGAAAAAGCTCCAAACACTGTTTCTTAAATTTTAACCGACATTTTAAAACACAATCACAATGTTTTATTTGCAGATTCTCACTGCTGGTCATTGCTTGTTCTGAACAAATGGCAATAAATCTGTGTAAGGAGGTAACTTGGAGAATATTAACCTCAGCTAAACGTTGGCGTCTTAAACGCAGGCAACTGCAGTTAGAGAACTAATAGATTAAAGCTAGATAGTGTTACCAAATTTGATGCTTAAGCTGTATTCAAAAGAAGGTCAAGTTCTCTGCTTCCTAGCAAGAAATCCGATTTTCGGCACAAACCATCTCAGCCCAGCTACTCAACTACAGATTTCCTTATCTAACTTTATTTACGATCTTTAACGTCTACTTGTTGCTGACGACTGCTGACGGCATGAAGAATAAAGTTGGCCATTTGAAAGACAAAACGAAAGCATTAATTGATTGGATATCAAATGATTTAGCCCACGTGCAGGTAAACTTTACTATACTGAAACATGGATACAAATAAGATTAGCTCACTGCTTCTTTAATTCACGACCGGGGTTGGACCAATACTATTGGTGTATAGCAATGGCAGAATTTTGGCAAGTAATCGGTCGATGATCGTCGCTGGATGGGGATCGATCAGCACACGTTTGTTAGCTGACATAATTCTAGCGAGACAGATACTACTATTGAAAAATGGCGATAATCAAATTCATGATCATACTACTCCTACAGTTGACCATTAAATCATTTTTACGCAAATCCTAGAGCTTAAATTTTTCCTAATCTTAAACTTAATTTATTACAGAACTTGAAACTGTTGTAACAGTTTAAGAAAAATCAGAATAATTTCTCAGCTGACAGTTGTCGATGAACTACAAGCAGTGCAGATGAAATTTTATTTGAGAAATGAATGCAAACGGTAAATAAATGCTTTCGACGACAATTTGTCATCTTAAAGCTAGTAAAATTTAAATCCAGGCCGCCTTTTTGTCATCGATCTCGTTTTGATTGGAGTGGTAGGAATCGGCAGAATTTGCAATTGCTCTTATCTCAATGGGAATCCGGGTGAGCTCAAGTGTTAATTCTAGAACTGATTAACCGGAACAAATCAGGCTCAAGGTCGAATCTTACCGCTAAAGTAACCCCAATTACCGAATCAATAGTCACCAATCTTCACTAATGTTTCTTTTGACATAACTTTTTATTATCAAATTTAAAAGATCATTTACACAAATCCCGTCTTGTTTATTCATTCAAACAGCTTTTTGGCCAGTGATAACATCTTTCTGAAATTGAATTGAGTTGAATTTTTTGATAATTTTAATAATTTTGGTAATTTTAGATATTTCAAAGTAAACCTGTTAATGAATCGCGCATTTTTCTTTTCAACCAATCATTAGTTCTTGGAAAAACTCGCATTAAAACCAGAAAATGGTAATCGTCATGTTGATCTTGGAAAAGGTTTACTTTCAAGCAAAAATTACGATATCTGTCACAGGTAAAGAATAAATATTGCTCAAAATTCTGAGCTTTAATTACTCCTTTATGTGATAATTTGACGCGAGATGGGAATTCAGCTTCAGCAAAATCTCTTTCGATATCGGCTTCAAAAAATTGATAAAATCTTTTTAAACTCTCAACAAAATTTAGAAAAATTTGTTTGCCATTCGTTTCACCATCGAATTCCCGCTGAAGAGAATCTTCCGTAATTCTTAAGTTCAATTCAACCATTACAGTTTCATTTTGAAATGTAAATCCATCAGATACAAGATTTTTGATAGTATGTCTAAAATGTTGAAAATCATCAGTTCGAAAGCGTAACTCTTTGGCATTTGATTGAAAAAGTGTATCCCAAAAGAGGTGGCGATCGCTTGTCCAAGAAAGCACATTACAATTGCTGAGATTTTGCGTAAGAAAAATCTCTGCAACATTATTTTCAATGTTTTCATCTCTTTCATTCATTGTGTAATGAAAAAGATCGAGAATTTTTGGTTGAAAATTTCCGAGCACCGATCTGCTCAATTGAAAATAGCCAGTGTCTAGCTTGAGAAAGGAAATCGGTCGGCTTTTTGGCAAAAATCCGATCTCTGAAAATAAGCACTCAATTTTTCGATTTGATCTCCTCCACGCGAAATCCGGATCATCAAAGTTGATGTCAATTTTGCGAACGAAACGAATTTCTCGGAATATGTGCCAAACTCGTTGAAAAGTGATCGTTTCAGGGGAAAACTCCATTTTACTTCCAACACTCAGTCTACATCGATCATCGAAAGCTTGAAGATTCCAAGTATCTTCACCGTTTTTGTAAGCAATTTGAATACAAAACACTGTTCCACCAAGATCACAATTTTCATAATTCACACCAAAAGCTAGTGAGAATTCCCAAATTTTGCGTAAAAAGACTCCATTTTCTAAGATATGTTGTCGAAATTTATGATTAACTTTGAGAAATTGTAAAGCTTCATCGGTTCTAATATGTTGCTGAATTAAAAGTCTTAACTCATAGGGAAAAGAGGAGAATTTGATTTGTTTTGCCATGCATTGAATAAAGTGAACACAATGAGTGAGTGAAAACTCGTTATCAAAGTGGTAAACGGGGGAATTCAAATGTGTTGACTCGTTGTATGACTTCCGGTCAATCTCTACGAGTTTGTAAACAATTGAAAAATTGCATTTGCCTATCTTTTTGTTTTCAAATAGTTGAAATTCTCTTTTTCTTTCAAATGGACAAAATAAATATGAGCAACAACAATGATAACAATGCCCAAGTTCATTATTTCATTATTTTTCATCAACAGAAAAGTTTCCATTACATTGCAAAGAGCTCACTTCATAAATCCCAAGCTTTGGCTCATCATAGAGCCATCGGCTGAACTCATCGCACCACATATTGATGTCTGCAGTTGTCATCTCAATTCCGCCATCATTGATCTGTGATTTGTTCAGATTTAGCTATTTATGTTGAGTCAATTTAATCCTTCAAGGATGACTCACCGAAATAAACGCTGCTAAACCTTTGATACACTTCGTTGGATTCACAAGTTAGACGCTGAATCAAGTAATTGAGGCAAATATTGCTGCCGAAACTGAAAGCAATTTTAATTTGATAGGAATTAGTTTAAAAATTGCACTGACAGTCAAAAGTCTTTTGTCCTAAGTCATTCCAGTGTTCATTCGAAGAGAATTGAGAAACGTATGGCCACATGGGGGACGCAGTTGTGACAATTGCTGGAGTGTTGAATGAACATTGACAAGATGGAAGAGTGGTGGTAGTAATTAAGCCTTTAGAAAATATAGCAAACTAAAGAACCACCTAAAACTGATGCGTCTAACAATAAGCCAGAAAGTTCTCGTATACTTTTGAAGGTCTAACTGTCTAGGTACTGACTTACCAGTCGCTGCAACCACAGAGACAAGAACTGGGGAAAGCAAGAATGACATTTGTACTTATGCCAACAAAATGTGCTGCTTGAATATCAGAATTTCTCAAGTTCTTATATAGCAACACTCTTTGAAAAGCTTTTCATTAAAAATCGTGGCAGTTTTAGAATTTTGTGGCAGGATTTTTGGTCTGAAACTTCAGCCACTCTTTAAAGAAGTACAAAATTAGTTTTTTAGAGAGTTCATTGTATAGCAGAGCAACCGATCAACCAACTTTTTGAATGGCTTTTTGTCAAAAAGCAAGACATTTATTGCATTTTGACACTCTTGAGATTTTCTGACTGGAGTTTGAAAGTTTAAGTTTTTGTAAAAGTATCTGGCATTTGTAAAAGTTTTATTTACATGAACAAGAAGTAGCATTATCAGAAAGAATTATTAAAGAGTTTTTTATTCTTGTGTTTATTTTCCGAATCCGAATCCTCCCCTTCCCATTCCGCCGAATCCACCGCGTCCCCCATAATATTGTTGTCGCCCATAGTATTGCTGTCCACCTCCCCATCCACCGCGATTCATTCCACCGTACATGTTCCCTCTACCATACATGCCCATGTTACCGAAGCCGAATTGACTGAAAAATTATATGACTTCTTTTTTGACAAAAGCAGGCATGTTATTAAACTAAAATGTTAAAGTCAAGCCTTGAAATCGTTTTCATATACTTGTTCTTGAGCTTGTCCTTGAATCTGCAATCGGAATCAACTGTCAACTCTAAGCTAGGTTTTTGGCCTTTTGGATTGAACATCTCCGTAGTTGACTTTCATGAAAACTACCGTGTTTTAAACGTGTTAACGTTAAAACACGTGTTACGTTTTTTAAATCTACCGTATTTCCAATATTTTTTATCTGATCTATGGGTTTTTGCTGAAGCTTTAGATTTTTTAGAGAAACTCACGCATTGACGAGAGCGAGCAAACAGACGAGAACCACCGCTAATAGTTTCATTTTTGTTGAGAGTAACTTTGGGGAGATTTTAGCCCGTTTTTTTGACTTTTATATTTATTCCTATCCGAAAATGAAAAGAAAAAAATATCCCTGAAAAAAAGAGCAGTAAAAAGAGGGTTTTTTTTCTGCGGCGAATCAAGGTCAGACAACTTCTCCCGAAACTTTCACTTGTGCCAAGATAACATCACAGGTTCAGGTTTTATACCGCAAAATGCTAGAAATAGTTTTCAAATTGTTTGGAAAAACAAAATTGCACAAGTGTTAGTGCAAGCTGAGTAAATTTTATGGCATTCATACACAATTTTCCTTCTTTACCAGAGCTTTTTAATACCCAATCCTCTTGAAATATTCTTTTTTCGCCATCAAAATCCAAGTCCAAAAGAAAAAGGTGAACAGGTGAATAAAATCAATTTTCAGCTGAAGTGATAAGCTTCCAGCTAGAGTGATAAGCTTGCAGTGGGAATTTTATTACCAAACACATTCTTCAAAAAGAACAGAGATTGGTAGCTGTTTGCCAAAGCAATTTTTGTTTAAAACGAAATTGCTGATGCTGATGATTGAAATGAAACAAGCGAAACAGAAAGTACCGAATGTACTTTGTTTTTGCGGAAACTCAATTTTGGGCTATGGTTTTAAACCAAAAGAAATCAAATTATGCGCACAAAACCCACGGAAATGATTCAAGAAAGTTTATTTCCGAAATCATTTCATGTCACTAACAAAATCTCAATTTTTTGATTTTATATTGGTACTTTTGATCACTTTTGCTCTAATAGGTGAGTTTTCAATTGAATCTAGGCATTTCCATGAGTACAATTGTTTAGGTACTTATTCACTGATTCAATATTGTTATAAACAAGATTGGAATACGGTTATTGAGTCTAAACCGGATATCGATAACTCACTGGAGAGTACTCTCGAGGTTGCAATTGCTTTGGGAACACGATGGGTAAAATATTTTGATTTTGCATAACATTGTTAGTGAATCTTTTTATCTATATCTTTTTTAAGTAGTGAACAAGTTTTCCAATACTGAGCTTACTATTTTAGTTGAAAATTACTTGGAATTCTGGGAATTTTGAGAGCTGATCAGCTCTGATTCAAAACAAAATCGACTTGCAAGAAGTTTTGATTTCCCTGAAGAATTAAAAAGTTCTCCTGTGGCTTGATGGAATCAGCTTGGTGTTGGAAAATAAAAGACTGACATTGAACTAATGAAACTTTATTTTATAAAATGAATTTAAAAGTTATTTTAGTCTCTTTTCCTGAGCCTTCTCACTTGCCCACTAGCTGCCATTTGTGCAGCAACAAACAATCGACTAACAGTGCCGATTCGGTAAAGAGCAGTTCAAATCATTTTAAAATAACAATTTTAGGTTACTAGCTACAGCCGAGAACTTGAATAAGTTCTTCTATTCTTTAATCCGATCGTTGAATTGGCTCTGCAATTGGCAATATGAGTAAAAAAAGAAACGATACAATTGATCTATAAATTGTTTTTAGTTGCCCTATCTGGCTCATCGATCCACTGAATCCAATATTTTACTGGATAAATATTTTCGATATAATGGATATTGCTCAATATTGTCAACTTTTCATTTCACTGAGGTTAGTTGTGAGCGGAATTGAAAAGGCTTAACTGAATGCGGTTTAATGACAAAGCTATTTCATTAAAGGGTTCAAATCGAGTAATTTTGCTACACGGTTAGATTAGATATTATTCGTTGGCAAGCAAGGTACATCAAGATTTTATCAAGAACAAGATCAGGATCTTGATCTTAATGTAATCTTGATGCATTAAGTCCAGTCAAGTCTATCAGTCAACCCAAACTGATTCAAACCAAAGCTCTCAATTCAGCCGCTTCCTTGCCCTCACCTTTGATGGCCGATATTTCAAATACACTCTCAAATGGCCCCTTATTCAATTGATCATTCCATATCTATTGCGCTGTTTGGTTAAAGAATTAGGCGATCTTTTATTACTGATCAGTGTCGACGACGCAGTTATCTCGGTTTTCCTGACGGCTCCTTTATTATTCATGTGCTCACTCGATTTTGTTACGAGTTCAAAGCTCAAGGAGGTTTTTTTTGATTAAAAAACGCAAGAAAAAGAAGTGTTTAGCTGAAAAGGAGCAAGAAAGTGAAGTTGGCTGAGAGATTGTTGATGATACAGGTTAGTTGAGGCAATTTGAACTTAACTATTAGAAGCAAAGCTGTTTAAAGATGCTAATGCTAAGCCAAGCTAAAGCCAGGAGTTATGGTCAAGCTTTGGCTGGCCTAGAAAACTTGGAAAACCAGGCCAGGTCAGCCAATCGATCTTGGCTTAGCTTTGGCCACGCTAGGCTTACCATAATTCAGATGCTTCTCAACTCCTTCTTTGTCTTACTTCTCACGATATTTTACTACCTCCTATCAACATTATTCCATTTATTCCTTGGCGATTCAGCTAATTTTATTCTTGATCAATCAAAAGACTTCAATCGAGTCTTTATTTCCAATCTCGTTGCTAGGTAAAAAAATAACCGCGTATTGAAAATAATTTGATTTAGCTTTATGTGTATTTTGTTGCTCAAAAAGCCATGTGAAACTCGAAAAAGGAATATAACTGTTTCAATGGTGCAAAAGAGGATTTAAGCATTCTTAATATGATGAAAATAAAGGAAATCAAGTTTTAAAGTTCACATTACATACAAAGAGGTGAAATTGAACAAACTTTCAAATTCTCAGCTTATCACACAAAATATTAAACATTTTTTGCGGGCTCAAGGCTCTTTGCTTAATTTTATTTGATTCCAAATAGAAATTGATCTTCAACTTTCTAGTTTTAAAAGTTTTTTTCCTTTAATCAATCTCGATTCCACCGCAAATCATTATCTTTTGATTTTACTTTTCATAAATCTCTTTATTCAATGTAAATACGTCAATGAACTTTGATGAACAATGAGTTGATGGGAGTTTTTCAATCAAAGGTCCATTTTAGTCTTTGCTCTGGAAACAAATCTGAAATGTTTCATCCAAAAATACGTCAATGAACTTCCGTGTTCTTTGTCAACAATTGATATGGATGAGTTGTGCAAGTAATACCATTCCGGAGTAAATGAAAAGTTTAAGAAAACTCGAAGATTATAGTTTTATTCAAATACTATTGCTTTCTTGTAAAATTCCGCTACTCTTAGAGAGTGGATACAATGAGAAAATCGTCTTTTGTAGACGCTCAAATCCTTGGTGAACGGGCCTGGCAAATCGTTATCTTTCGATTTTACTTTCCAAAAATCTCTTTATTCAACGTAAATGCGTCAATTAACTTTAAGTTTTCTGCTATTAATTGTAAATATTGGTGAATTGATGGGAGTTTCTCGATCAAAGGTCCAGTTTAGTCTTTTCTCCGGAAACAAATCTGGAATGTTTCTTCAAAAAATACGTCAACAAGCTTTCATGCTCGTTGTCAGCAATTAATATGGATCAATTCTGCAAATACGAATTGCAAAGTATACTAGAAAAGCAATGTAAAATTTACAATGTACAAGAGTTTTATCAGAATAATGACGGTATTCTTACTAGGGAAAGAGAAGCACTTGCTGTGGCCTTTCGGCACGAGAATCGAATCACCCATCTTATAGAATCGGACACGCTCAGTTCGAATCCCCTTTTAGTTTTTGCTCTTGAGGCATCCTTGAGGCCTGTAACGCAAGATATTTGGCTTGAAGGTCTTGAGTGGATTTTTATCTCTATTGGAGGCACAGTTTGAGGCAACGACCGGTTACAGGCATATCTTAATGGTAGAGCGGCAGCCGGTCAGGCTTCGATCCAAATCTGGATCAAAATTTTTTGTTTTTTCGGAATTGGTAAAGTATTTTGTCGATTTTTTTCAAGTACTGTCTATAGCTTGCCTCTTATTTTTTCAAAAATGAAAAACAAGAAAAACAAGCTACACTTTACACAAAAAGAACGTACAAAAATCAAAAACACGATGATAATCAACAATAAAACACTTAAAATAGAACGATTGAATCCCCAGGTCGATGCCTGAGTTAGAGCATCGGTCTGGGAATCTAGAGGTCGAGGGTTCGACTCCCGGGATTACTGTTTTCATTGCATCGCCTAAGCGCCAATTGTCTTGTGTGATATGAAGAAGTTTAAAAACTTTATTTAAAACCATCATTCCAATTTTCTTTTTCGCTTTTATTAGATTCGAATGCCCATTTCTTTACCGATTTCCGACACCTAAAAAACTTTATAAAGTAAATGCAGAAACTCCTTTTCTTAAGGAAATACCTTATTAGCGATATCGGGAATGGTTTGATCAAAATTTTCGAGTACGGGGATCGCCTTATCGGCCACTTGTTGCACCCCATTAATCACACGGTTCACATCATTCAAGGTATTTTGAGCCATAGCAACGACTTGTTGAGAATTCGAGTAGAATTTGTACTGAAAAATTAAATAATACCCAAGAGTCTCCTAATACTCTTCCTGGTCTAGTTGGGGGTCATAGCTCTGATTTTGATCTTTCTATGGCAGCGATCGCAGCCTTGTATAGCTTAATTAATAGAGTGTCGGTCCAGAGATCTGCATCTCTGGACTGGAGCAAGGATTCGAGTCCCAGCAATGGCTGAAGCTGAAGATTATAGTTGCTTAATATGCTTTTATTTTCAATCAAAACTTTCACCGGTAAAAGATACCGAGAAGTATGGTATTTTTGCCTGATGTGATCAGAAGAAATGACCTAAAAAGTCAAAAGTTTATATTCAAATACAGAATGATCCAAGGGTAACAAGCCAAAGATAATAATACAAAAAATAAGCTATATATTAGCTTATATCTTTATTTTTCTATGGCTATTTTGTCTCTCAACTTTATCTTCACAAACCGGCATATATCCCCTCGGCACCAATCCGTAGATAATCTCTTTTAGGTCCAATTTGTCCCAATTCTGTGCATAGTATGCAGGAGATGGATAGAAGACATAATTGCACAAGCCAGTCGTTGTATCACAAGTACTGTGGTTATAAGTAGTACAATCCGAGTCTTGAGCGCATTTCGAGCCGGCCTCATAGGCTGGTTTGCCCATAGCAGCTGATCTGAATAATAAATTGAGTTGAATTCAGCTGCACGACATAATCCCGATTTCTGATTTTAGCCATTCTATGGCATTTTTGATATTTCAACGACCAATGACCAGCCAAATGACTCAATCGGCGGTGTGCAGGCTAGTGAGCAAAAGTCGAATGTTTGACTTCGAATGACTTCCATAAATAGCCAATAATCGAACTAGATGAAACAAGTTTTATTTCTGCTATTCTAGACGCTCTCTGGCAAGTTGAAAATTACAGTTTTAAATGGCTCAATCGCTAAGGCAGGTTGGAAGATCCAGGAGACAAAGGTTCGAGTCCCGTTAACGTTATGTCTCTTTTTTCTGAAAGACCTACTAGATTTAGCTTTTTAACACTTACGGTTCATCGAAGACACAAGCAATATAGTACGTGACTCCAAAAGTGGCGTTCTCCGATGCACAATGTGGATAATAAGCACATCCGACAGCCGTTTTTGCTCCAGTCACATACTGAATTTAGTCGTACTCTTAAAGTTTCTTCTAGCCGTCCATCACAAAAAAAAACCCACATTGTTCCATCTTTGAATATTTGTGTTATCGTAGATGAGGTTTGGCTGGATCCCATTAGTGACAATTTGTCCGAGATCACTTTGAAACATCGAGATGAGCTTGGCCTTGACTTCTGTCTTATTTAGCGGACTGGCACTTATTCCACTAAAAACACTTAGATTTTTCTTTTACCTAATTAAATCTAGATCAATATTTCACGCAAATCAAGTGTGTAAATCTCTTATTGTCAGATATATTCGGCAAAAACTATGCCATTTTCTATCTGAAACAGCATAGACTTAATAGCTAATTATATTTCAAAAATTGAGCTCATTTTCTATTACTTTAATGCCCAATACTGGTAAAATTAGAGTTTTTTAAAACACAAACGAGGTGGTGATCGTGTTTTTCGGCACCGGCCACAGTGGTTCGCTTCCATTTCGTGGCCACCCACAAGACGACACCCAATCCAAGGCAAAATCCTCCAATTTACAGTTGTAAAACTAAAACTTCAGATTCAGTAAATGTCAGCAAATTGTGCGCCAACCAATTGATACATATTCTTGGCAGCTGGAAGATTCCCCGTCTTATTTTTCGCTGTTCCATTAGCAACACTTTGACGGTAATCATTGAGAGTATTGACAGCTGTTCTTCTCCAATCATCATCCATCAACCATTCATTACGACAAGCCAATTCGTTGCGAGAATCGAAATATGGTGCCGTTGTCTAAATTCAGCTGTAGACTTCCAAAAACGCATCCTGCTCATTCTCTGAATCCAGAATCACATTCTCCGAGTCAGCCTATCGAGATTTTCGTCTTGGTGGGCTGATTGGTGGGAATGGGGATGGGAATTGAGCTGATTGACTGACTCAAGACTGACCGACCAAGAGTTGTCCTCACCAAAAGCTTTTATCTATCAAAAGCTTCAAAACAGTGGGAGGAGCTTCTCATATCCTCTCATAAGCAAAGCCATGTAATCACTGATCCGTGCAAATCTCTAGTATCCATCAATAACCTTGTTCTACTAACTCATGTTTCACTTGCTAGCCCCTACAATCAAGTCAGATTTCCTGGGAAGGGCAACTAGGGGAGGAAGTGACACAGTGAGACAGTGAAACAGTTGGACGAAGTTATTTTTACAAATCTTAAGCAAAAGGTAATTAAGATTTATATAACCAGTCAACACAGCATCTTCTATTCCAAATATCCCAAGCTTGAAAAGCGTATAGTTATTTCGGAATCCCATAAAAAACAGCATCTACCAAGCTAAGGCTCATTTTGGAAATCCCTATTGTCTATTGGACAGCTTACAATTAGTCCTTTTGATGATTTTATCGAGCAAAAGTTCTCATTTTCTTTCTTACCGTACTGTGCGTTGATGATATGAAGATTGTTACTGTCTAGAAACATTTTAAGATAGGGAAAATCAGAGGTATCCAAACCGTGAAAACCAGCAAGCCGACGGAGGTGGTCATGATTTTGAAAAAATGAAACGAATTTTGTGTTGAATGTTGAACTGGGCTAATGGTCTCTCGGTTGAGGTCTCGAGAGATTGAGGTAATCTCTCGATCTTTTTTGAGCCAATCAATGAATCTATTGTGAATCATGCTTCCCCCGCCCTGTGCCCTGTGTGATCCGCTTTTGATTGCTATAGATTTTCAAGTTTTCAGTTGAATCAGTGCAAATGTTTTGATCACAAGATTAATGATTTGTTAAATGGTTTTGTCAAAGATTGTTTGAATTGTTGAAACTCGAATCCGATTTGTGGTGATCTTCAATAGCGGCAAAGAAGATCTTCGACTGATACAGCTTCGATTGGAATTTCTCTCTATTTCTTAGAGTTTCAATCTGAAAAGCTAAATTTGCAAGGTATTTAGACTTTTACTAAGCTTTAGAGGTCAGTGAGTGCATTCAAAAACAAATTTCCTTAAACTTCTCCCGATCTGTTAAAAGAAGAAGACTCATGCTGCAAGTTCATAAGTTTTCTTTACTTTTAATCAATTTTACAAGACCGTCTTACTCACTATAAGATACTTGGGTGCTTTATTGTTATCGGGGGGATGAAAGATTTTTGGTATGGTTGGGAAGCCAAGTTAGGCGGGCTCAGGGGGTGCATACTACTTCTTTCTTATTAAAGAAACTTGATAATAATAAGAGAAAAAGCCATTCCCTACAGCCTAATACAACAGTGAATACATTAAAAGACTTACCTATAGTAAAACCTTTGAAAATATAGATGTTGAGTCGTTCTATGTAGTGATTTGTTTTTGCCTGTTTTCTTGCGAGCATTTTGTTATAACTTACTTTACACATTCCACATCTTTAGATGGATAAAAGTGAACTTCGTGTTTTGCTCCGTGACTATTGGAAAAGGTCTGTCTGCGAGATCTGCTGCTGAAGTGATTTGTGAGGTGGAAAGCCAAGGAACTGTTGGCAAAACTGCTGCGATCTAGTGATCCAAACGCTTCAATGATGATGATTTTGATCTTGAAGACAAGCCTCGTTCCGGACGACTACCTGTTTTCGACGAAAGTGACTTGCAAGCTGCTTTGGATGCTTTGGATTTTATGGACGGCTTGGTCCGAAATTGTTGGTGGGATTGGTAATACGGAAAACATTCATATACTCAGAATTCGATACCCTTTCCGGTGATGTATTGAGATTTTTAATAATTTTTTCAGAAAAGAGTTATCGATCGAAAATGGTTCAAAACCTAATTTTCCATAACTTTAGATCTCGAAAACGAGAAAAGCTAAAGAAAAGCGGTTTTCAGATTTTGAATCAAGCTAGTTGAATTGCTAGAAAAACGCTTTTTCTTCAAATCGAAACGTTTCATTAGTTCTGAAAGTCCGAATCCAAATATGAAATGGACGCTATTTCAAACAATTTGTATTAGAACTTGTTGAATAGTGTAGGCCAGTTTTCGAGTATTTTTGGGGTTCTAGTCGATGCTCTTTGAAACAAGAAAAGAATTAGAGTCATAGCTTTTCATACTTTTACAAGAATGGCTCTTTTTCTGGGTGCGATCCCTCACCCGCACGATATCTATTCTGCCAAAATCCTCTTAAACTCGTCCCTGATGCCTGATTCTTCAAATGATCGAAATAAACAACTAACCAAATGATTTTAAAAAGAGTCGAACACAAGAAACATCAACACATTTTGATCTTGATTTTTATCTGTTCTCTAAAATCTTTTTTATCTTTCAGCAATCTTTTTATCTTTCAGCAAAATCCGTTCCACCCCATTCTTTCGATTTTATTTCTCCAAAAATCTCAAATTTCATTCAATATAATGTTACAAACAACTTTAATTTTCCTTTTATTGACTGTAAATATTGGTGAGTTGATGGGATTTTTCGATCAAAGGTCCATTTTAGTCTTTGCTCTGGAAACAAATCTGAAATGTTTCATCCAAAAATACGTCAATGAACTTCCGTGTTCGTTGCCGACAATTGATATGGATGAGTTGTGCAAGTAATACCATTCCGGGGTAAATAAAAAGTTTAAGAAAATTCGAGGATTATAGTTTTATTGAAATACTATTCCTTTCTTGTAAAATTCCACTACTCTTAGAGAAGCGGATACAATGAGAAAATCGTCTTGGGAAGACGCTCATATCCCTGGTGAACGGGCCTGGCGAATGCTCTGCGAGAATCAAGATGGAGCCTCTGGTAAGAGATATTGCATAGAATTTTATTGTTAAACTAATTTTTCATATCCTCACGATATTTAGTGCTCAAAGCACTTGAGTGTAGCCAAAACGCGAACACAAAGAATAATATTGCCGACAAGTGTGGCGACGTCAATTTTGGGAGTTGCAGGTGAATGATGATTTCTTCAATTTGATAGATCTCTATTCTATCTTAGTTTATAGTCTTAATCTTTGAATTTCTGAATCTTTTAGTGAACTTGGGACTGCGCGTACCTGTTTGGTAAGAGAATTGAAAACTCTATGCGGAAACGATCGAGCAACTTCTTTCTTGACTGAGGTATGGCTTGAATCTTGTCTTCTTGATGTCTTGCGTTTCAAATGATATTGTTATTTTAAAAATTTCAAAAAAAGGCACGTAATAGGTCTATCATATTCAGGCCTACATGAACAACGATGATCGCCGCGGGACACCGATTTTCGATTGTCGAGAAGTGATCGCCAAAGTGGTTGGCCTTAAAGCTTGGTGAAAGTGTTTAACAATAAAAGTGCTGGATTTCACCCAAAGCACATTCCAAAGACCAAATTTGTTCAGATATAGAAATTACAAATGGAAAAACAAATTTTCAATAAACGACAGTGAATCTTTCTGCATTTGGTTCAATTTTTAAGCTTTAAACCAAACTGAACCAAACCAAATCGATCTCTAAAATTTCTTTTCTCATTTCAGTACCCGAAATAAAAATGATTTATGGTTTACCGCCGATTTTTCAAATTTTTTCAAATTTTCCCATTTTTGTTCCACTCCAAATGATCACTTTTCAATTTTATTCCCGAAAAATCTTTTCATTAGACACGAAAATGCAACAAACAACTTTAATTTTTCTCTTATTGATGAAAAGGTGACCAAGTATCGTCCGAAACCCGAACTAAAGATGATGAAGCTAAATGCCAACTGCTGAATTCTTTCTCTGAAAGCAAGCTCAAAATGCAGGCTGTCTTAATACATTTGACGTTATTAGAAGAATATGAAAAACTTGAAGAATTACAGAAAATGAAAACACTAAAGAATTTTGCTCTTCTAATTAGTTTACAATCAAATTTAAAGCCACCTACTTGGAATCGCAAAGATATTTTTGAACAAATAGCAAGCTCAAATTGTATTCCTAATAGTCTATTTGATATGTTTCGCAAAAGTAATAAACAAAAGAGCATTTGACTGCCAGAATTCAGTCAGAGATTGGAACAAATCCAGTTTCAAGAAGCCATTGAGTTCTTAGCGGAAAAGAGAACTCGAGAAAAGCAAAGCACTTCTCAGTTTGAATTACAGACGACTTGGAATTGGATTGTTTTGTAATACATGTTGATTTGCTTTTAAAACGCAATAAATCTTGTCACAAAATCGATATTTATTGCTTTTTAGTACATGAAGAAAGAAAAATAACTATGACAAATCATGGAAAAATTGTGAATTGTTAAGCAACATCATCAGAAAGACTTGGTAATCCTTTATCTTTTGCACTTTATAAACTTGAATCTTTAGGTTAAGAATGTTTATTGAACTCTAAAATCCTTTTTTAAGTTCATAAATTCACAATTTCTCTATAAGACAAAAAGAAAGGCGAATTTTTATGCTCAACTAGAGCAAACTGATAAGCAAAGTGAAGAAAAAATTAATCTAAAGACTATTTGTTTCGTTTGAAAAGCTCAATATTTTGTTGGAAACATTATAATTCCTAAAAACTTGACTCAAATGAATGACGGAAGAGAGATCGGAAATGGTGCGTATGGACGAGTAGTGCTCTTGGCCACAAACCCGTAAGTTGAAGACAAAACTTTTAATGCTATCCTTTAAATATGATCTTTTTGTCCATATTCTTAGATGTAACTGTTTGTAAAACTTTGTTTTTTCAAGGTTTGCATAGAAATGTTAGTGTAGATAGCTGTTTTAGACAAACTGTCGCCAAATGGGTTCGCCAAACGGACGACGAGTACCGAGAGACTCAATTCGAAAGGGAATGGCAAACCCTGATGCAACTTCGACATCCGAACATTGTCGCTTTCTATGGTATAGAAAAACGACAAGATTGGGGAGTTTGGCATCATGTGATTAGAATGGAGTACTGTGAGAGGGATTCATTACGTGAGGGTTCGCTAATCTTTTAACGCATTTCAATCAAAGCCCTCTTTCAGTAATCGGTGATCCGACAATCGTCTATAACATGAAAACTGTCTATTGTTGGGCTGAGCAATTGTTTTCTGTTTTGCAACTGTTTGAACAACATGACCTCATACATCGTGATCTCAAACCGGAAAAGTGAGTGATTTATTTTAACTGATTTATTTTGGTAAAAAGTTTAGCGTTTTGGTAAACGACAAGTTTACCTTGAAAGTAGCTGATTTTGGATGTGTTCGCACTTTGGATAAAGAAAAGATCCCAACAATTACTGGAACTTATCTCTATATGAGTCCCGAAATGTTTCGTGGAGAAATGGGGCATGTTCAACAGGTTTTTTTGCTACAAAAATCGACATCAAATCACTTTAGTTGAGCTGCAAGAGCGATCTTTACGCTGTCGGATTGATTCTTTGGGAAATCGTGGAAAGAAGGTGCCTCTAAATAGTTGGAAATTTAAGCAAATCCATTTAGAATTGCTCATCCGGATTATGAGAATCTTGCGACATTTGTACAGCAATTCATAGAAGAAATTGAGACTGGAGTCTCTCAAAGGAGTCTGCCAGTTTGCGATGAAAGACTCAAGGAGATTATTGTGAGGTATTGGTTTGGTCAATCAATGGTTAAAAAGAATCTTTGACTTTGGTTTGACTAGTCTTGGCTTTTGGCTTTTTTCCCAACCTTGCCCTGAAAGTTTTATCATTTTTCAGTTGCACTCAAATCTTCCCGAAACAAAGAGCCGCCGTTGGAGATGTTTATCCGCAAATTGTTGAAATCAACAAGGTAAGTAACTTTCAATATTCAATAAGAACTTGAGATTGAAGCTGTTAGTCAACTCAGAATCTTATAATTAGCTAGAATGCTTTAGTGAATGTTTTGAGCTTAGCTATAAATCCGTTTAATCAGCTACTAATACTTTTTTGGCTCTTGCGTAGTTTCCGGGTATTTTGAACGGCTCGTCACGATTTGAAGGCTTAGGCTTAGGCAAAAACTATAACTTTCTCCAGAAATAATATTTTTGCTAACTTTTTATATCATTTTACAGAGGACATTCCAAGTTTTTAAATGATACCAAATAGAGCTTGAGTGGATAATCCAGTCCAAGAAAATCGGAGCCAACTCTGAGCAAATGACACCTATCCAACTCGGGTGTTGTGTTGCCTGGTTTGCATGGGACTGAAAAATTCACTCAAGCTCTATTTGGTATTTAAAAGCCTGAAATGTTCTCTGTAAAATGATATAAAAAGTTAGCAAAAATATTATTCCTGGACAAAGTTCTAGACCTTCAAAGCGTGACGACCCGTTCAAAACACCCGGAAACTACAAAAGAGCCCTTTTTTCTAGAGTTACACAACTTACGAGTTTCAACCGAAGATCGACAACGAACAGAAAACTCTTTTGAGGCCACTTGGATTTGATGGAGAAGGCCCTCGAGTTGCAAATGAATCAATACCATTAGAAAAACCACCTCCAACACCACTAAAACCAAAGGAACTCTTCTTGGAAATGTCAAAAGAAGCAGCTCAAGAAAAACCATTTATTCCACAAGTTCATGTTCAAGAGAAACCACATGAACCACAGCCAATTCTAGAAATTCCCGAGGAGCCACCAATACCAGAAGTACCCCCCAGAAAGTCACACAGATCAAGAACATTCATTGTTCAATCACAGCCTAGTTCTATTAATCCATATCTAATCGTTAATGCATCGCCGATATCGACAAACTCTTCATCGTTATCCATAGAAGATCTAGATCCTTTTCAGAAGTTAATGCTGATAAACAAAAATGCTTCTGTTGAAATCAAACGTAAAAGCTATAATTATCTAGTCGACTTCCTTAAACAAGACGAAAAGTATGATGAGGTACTCAAAGTGATCAGGGAAAAACGAAACACTTTAAACCTTTTCCTCAACAGTTATGTCTTTTCTCTTGAGAATCACATTTTGGATGAGAGTCTTGACTTATCCTTAATAAATTTTGTCAACATTTTGCACAAATCCAATGCATTTCGCAGAATGGTTAGCGAAAATGATGATGTTGAAACGGCTGAAACAATCATTACTGCTGTGGGTTGTTGGGTTGAACAAGTACTCGATGATTTGATGCTAATTTACAACACTTTCACAGAGGCTTTCTATTGCATTGAGAATGGGATACAATTTGAGTTTCCAACGGTAATTGAGAAGCTGAATTCACTTCAAGAAAACCCATTCAAAGACTGGAAAATGGTTCTAGAAACCTATGAAGACAAGGAAGCTCAGTGGTGTCGTTTGTCACGTGATCAGCGGCTTTTTGTACTCCCAAATTTCATGAAAGTTGTCACAATGAGTGAGGGAGAATGGAACAATCTTGACTTTGTCCTCAGAACAAAAAGCTTTCTTAAAAAACAAAAGAAACCGATTCTAACTTACAGTGGCTCTGGAACACACAAAGTTAGCCTTGAAAAGCTAATCAAATCAATGAAGCTCTTAAACAACAATCTGAGCTCTCCGAAAAAGTTACCGAAAGAACTCTACAACTGGCTGAGAGCTCAAATCAGTGTTTTTGCTAAAATCAGAAAAGGCAATTATCCAAACTATGTTTTTCTCTTTGGACATCCACCAGAGCGACCCGAGTGGGGCCTGGCTGCTGATCTCTCCGAAGCAAAAATGGAGACTTATACTCAAATTCATGCACTTTTGCGAGACTCGTTTTGTTTTCTCAAATACCCTTATCACTTGTTTAACGAAGATTCGACGGCTGTCAATGAAAAAGGTCTAAAATTGGTTAAAGCTTTGCAAGGAAATCAAAGAATAACTGAAATACTTTTTCTCAAGCTGACAAACGGAATGATTCTTCTTGAGTTTCCGGATGATTTGAGTAAAATGAAAAATGTAGAGGCGTCGTGTCTTTGCTTGAATTTAGTAGCTGGTCAGGTTAGAAAAGAGAACGTTGTGCTTGAAAAGGGATATGAATTGGTGCCAATTTCACTTGATCACGTTGCAAATGTTCTGCAACAGTACACCCAGTTTCTACTCTTTGAAAGCGGTGAGTCTAGCTAGCTAATAGGTAAATCATTGAAACACTAGAAATTATTATCTTTTAGCTTCAATCTCTGCTGGAACGAAACGAGAAAAAAAGACGAGTTTGTTACAAAAAGCTTTTCGCTGTCTCATTTGATAAAACCTTATTTTTATTGTTGCAGTTTTAGCATACTTTTTTATAAAAACTTTTCTTGTCTTGGTAATCTTTTTGGAAACAAAAAGCTTAAGATTTATTAAAGAAATCTTTATTGTCTAGAAAATTGATTGCGATCCAGACAAAATCGTCAGATATAAAGTCGGCTTGATGCATTTGTTCATCTGCATCCATATAGGAATTTGTGGAGGCTCTAAAAAGTTGGCTCTATTAGGAATTGAACTCCAAAAGAATAGTCGTAGTCGTGGTGACATAGTCGAATTCGGCTAAAACAGGGATTATATCTTGAGACCAGCTGAAAAAAACCACCTAACGGCAGGCTTTTCTGATTTCGCTTGGCGCAATTGGAGCGTGCTTGTCTACGGGCCACACGATCCGGGTTCGACCCACCGTAGTGCCACTTGAGTAATGCCTTACTTTTGCCATTTTTTGTTCTAAATGGCACAAGAACAATATATTCCAAGATTTTTCTAAAGAAGCTTCAGCTTTATTGGTCAAAATACGACCGAGAAAATGCCTGTACAGACAGACAGGCGGACAGACAGTGCTCTTTTATATATAGTAGTTAAGCTACTGCCAGAGATCAAACTCCAGTTTACAAGTAATCAACTACAGTTGTTTATAGTCTAACTGGAGCCAATTTTATTGTGTATCAAATTTCTGAATGCTCTACAGATGGTCAAACTCACGATCAAGCCAGAGAGCTGCACGGAATGTGATCGAACTCCCATAATTGAGTTCCCATGTGCTCAGCGAGGTGAGGAAATAAAACGAAGTGTTGAAAGTAAGTCGGGTTGTCAAAAAAGCAATGATTTTACAATCATAAGTCGACATGGAAAATGACTCGGGAAAAATTGTGAGTTTTCTTCTTTATAACTTTTAAAAACCAATGAATGTTACTCCGAGCTGTAAATGAAAAACCAATGAATGTTACTCCGAGCTGTATTTTCAAGGCTTCTCGATTTTTTTATGATCTTACCACCTTGTTTTTACTTTAATTTTTGTCTTTGAAATTAACGTTTACTATAAATTACTAAGGCCAATCTTCGACGTTATAACGCAATATCAAAAAATTTCAGAAAAAATTACAATTTGTGTAAAACATAATTCGTAGACAATGTCTTTTTATTGCTTTTTAATAATTACTTAAAATTTGACTTAATATCTAACAAGATCTGTCCTTACTGTTGTCTTTCATATATTTTCATATATTTATTTAAACGAACAAATGGTTATTCACATAGCCCGGTCTATAGACATAACAGAAGTAGTGAGATCAGACGGGAATCCTACAGGGCCACTCGGTAAACGAGAATCCTTTCTTCCAATATTCTGCGATCGACCCAAATCCCTCGACTCCGCGTATTTAAGGTTTTGCGCCTCGAAAGAGAAACCTTTCCCACCTTCATCGGTGAGTGCCCAAGGTTGGATGTCGGCTGAAAGCTTTAGCATTATAAAATGTTAGACCAGTCTTGATTACAAAGAGGATTTTTCGTCAACTAAGCACATCTTTTTCAAGCTTACCTGTTCCAAAAATCGCAAACAACACTCCAGTTCCTAGGGAGAAAGCACCGATTAGTAGCAGAATTCGTTGCCATTCTTCCGGGGTGCCCTGAATCTTTTCATGTTAGACATGAGCACTATAAACTACAAAAACGAACAGTCACACTACAAACGCTTCTAACTTGCTTTAAATCTGACCGGGTTGATTTGATCTATAACTCAAAAAATAGAGAATCTTGAGAGCTTTCGAATGGAATAAAGCAAACTAAAAATATCAATGCTAAAGAAAGTTACAGTGGTTTGTAGCCTGACTCGAAATGGACTGTACTCAAGTCAGGCTCGATCAACTCAGGCTACAAACCACTGTAACTTCCTTTAGCATTGATATTTTTGGTTTGCTTTATTCCATTCGAAAGTTCTTGAGATTCTCTATTTTTTGAGTTATAGATCAAATCAACCCGGCAGATTTAAAGCAAGTTAGAAGCGTTTGTAGTTTACATTTGTAGTCTACGTTTGTAGCAGTGCCCATGTCTATTTCATTTTTTTGTATTTCAACTAAATATCTAAATTTCAACTACTTACCGCGTGTCTGAAAACTGAAACGATGTACGGACAAAATAGTCGTCCAAGCATTGCTGGAAATAGAGACATTGAGCAGAGAGTGGCTGTGTATTGAGGAGCGATTGAGAGAAGTGACGTGAACATTCCACTGAAAAGCATAACTGAACTGAATTAAGAAAGTTCCATACATTGGAAAATGCTTTCTTCGGTCTAAGATTGAAGTCTCTATCCAGCTTTTGTTTAGACTTTATTCAAAACCGTTCAGTTTTTTTAGAAAAGCGAACTGAAAGAGTTTGCTTATCGGATAGCTGAACAGATTTTGTTTTATTTGCTTTTTTCTACCTCGCAAACATCGCCAAGAAAACCGATGAGAAGCTGAGAATGACCAAAATCGCGTTTGCATGTGAGCAATCAGCCAACCAAGCGATCATCACAAACGCCAAACCTGTGCCGAGATTTGCTAAAATATTGAGCTATTCTTTAGAGTTTATAATTTCAATTACCCAAGAATTGAGACAATTTCACAGCGTGTGTTGGAGTGATCTTTCCGCTTTTCTTCAATCGATCGATGAAGATACTATAGCCAACGTTGAAGACCCCATTCACGACATAGGGAACGGCCACGAAGACTCCGTTCTGAAATTTGGGGAGTTTTCTTTTGGATAACGTACTTTTGTAGACTCAAAACCATTTGACTCACCATAACCACATCCAGATAGAGCACTTCTTTGTAGAATAATGGCAAGTAGACTTGGATGAAAGTGGCGTAGAGATTCAAAGAGAATTGAACAATATTCTAAATATTCAATAATTTATTTAAATAAAGATATTCAGCTAATTGCTTCAAGCCAACAACTCACAATGGCCCAGAAAGGCGTGGAGAGAAAGATGGCAACGTAGGGGACGGAGACTCGTTTCTAAGTTTTGATTTGATAAAATTTTAGTTATAAACTAGTTTAGATAGTCTAGATTCGTTTAGACATTAGTTAAAATTAGTATTTTCAAAAAAAACCCAACCTTCTGTGCTTGTGGATTTGATTGATTTTGTGTCAAGTACTCCTTTTCGATTTTCCCCATTCGCGTATCCTGATCAGGACTGTGTGAAGAGAGGAAACCCCAGAAAATCGACCACAAGAGGCCAAAAGCTCCTGAGTAAATAGAAATCGATAAATTTAATGAGTTTTCTTTTTAAAACTTACCAGCTACAAAGAAAATAGCCGGCCATCTCAATGAGGAAGCGCATAGCGAGCCGGCCAATGGAGGACCCAAAATCATGCCGATGATTAAACCTGGAATTGGATAAGAGTAAATAAAGTTTAAATTGAATATTTATTCAACTTTTAAAGTTATTGGGTTGGTGAATTGAAAACTGCGGACTATTGTCATATGTCACAGTACTAGAGGACTGGAGATGTCCCAGTTTGAGCACTTTCTTAAAAAGAAAACCATTTTGGTGTCAATAGAAAAGTTGTAGAGAATCAAAAATCAAGCTTATATCCAAATTTTCAGAACGATTCAAAAACTGGTTTTCAAGAAATGCCAAATTTACGAATTTTCACAAAACTTGCATTTTAAGCGAAAATACTAAGTGTATCTTTTTGGAAATTTGGCTATAAGCCTAATTTTTGATCCTCTACAACTTTTCTATTGACACCAAAATGGGTTTCTTTTGAAGAAAGTGCTCAAACTGGGACATCTCCATTTCTCCATTTTTGAGTCTCACACTTGTCTCACACACAAACCAAAATCCTATGCAGAAAGAGGAATCCGCAAATTGCCTGTAAAATTGGCAGAATTCGTCAATAATAATATAATATTTGTCTATAATCTATCTATCTTTTCTTACATTTCTTACAATAAATAGCCTTGTTTGGGAACTTTTGGCGCATTCCCCATACAGTCCCAACCTCGCCCCTTTTGATTACTATTTATTCCGGATCATGAGTAATGAGCTTGCGGGAGAACACTTCGATTCGGAAGAAGCAGTCAAAAATTGGCTTTGAAAGTTTTTTGATTCAAAACCAAAATCCTACCACGAAAGAGGAATCCGCAAATTGCCTGTAAAATGGGCAGAAGTCATCAATAATAATGGAAATTATTTGGAATGAATTCATGGTTTTATGTTCAATAAATTTTAGTTCAAAGTTCCGCAGTTTTCAATTCACCAACCCAATATATTTACTATATCTACCTGTATTCTGCAGAGCAACGGCTGTCGATCGCTCTTCAACGGGGAACCATCGAGACAAGAGAGCCGCGATTGAGGGATGAACGAGACTCTGAACCAAGAATTCCTTTCATTTTTATATGACTTATCAGAAAACTATTTACTTTCAATTATGCATAATATTTAAATGCTTACCTCAACAAATCCCATAATAAACCTAGAGATGAACGTCGACCAAAAGCCGACATAAACGGCGAAGAATGGAAACAAGAGGGAACACCCAGAAATGATCAGAATTGCACCAAGAATGAGGCGATGAGAGGGCATGTGTTGCACGATTGGACTAAAATATGCATTTTTCTGATAAGTAGAAAAGTCCTTGAGTTTTTAATACTCACGTTGCTGGTAGAATCCCGGCTAGCGCTCCCCAGAAGGCTGCGGAGAAGAGAAGATTTTGCATATCCGGTTCCCACGTGATTTCACCCTGCAATAGTTATTTAAAATACACATGAGGAACAAAATTGTGAGAGATATTAGAATAACTGATAGAACAATATGCCTGATTTAGGCAAGATGAGTCAGTAAGATAAGCTTCAATTGAAGAACGTTAAAGTACTCACTATCAGCCTTGAAAGCTACTGTTTTACCGTTTCACGTATGGACTTTAACACTTCTTTGCATACCTAGTTTCTTTTTATCACAATATTTCAGACTTACTCCATAATCCATCACTGGAGATCCATCACCTCCGACTTTTGCTGAACATCCCGAAATCGGGATCTCTTGAGTGAAATTTGGCGAGAAAAGTTTTGGCTTTTGAGTGGTTTGCGATGATTGACTCAAAGCTGTTGAATTAATCATGCACACCATTCCGAAAGCGATGTTTGCTCGCCTGAAAGATGATAGTTGAAATGCTATTAAAGCTAGAGTTGAAATCTCGACTCACATGAAAACCATTCCTCCAAAACCGATCATGATCAGCAAAACGATTTGAAAACGTCGAGCGTGGAGGGTCCAGAGAGCTAAATTTTATAGTCAAATTTCAATACTGAGATCTACTTTCATTTCAAAATGCAAAGTACTCACGAGAATCAATCGGGATCGGGTGCTCTGCGATCGGGTCAAGCTCCATGTTTTGTATGACACCCATCGGAGCTAAAATAAATCTTTTAGTTTAATAAATATATAAAATGTATATGCAAACAGTTCACAGTCCTGAAAGGCTTAAAAATAGAAATTAAAGTTAAATAGATTAAGCAAGAATGGTTCAGTTGAAAGTCAAAAAGCTATAATTGCCATCCAGGCAATTATGGCTTGTTGAACAGAGTTAAACAAAAAAAAAGTGAAAATGAGAATTGAATAAACTGAAATGATGACGCGTGGTTTCTCAAGGGAAAAGCAGAAAAAGCAGAAAATGAACCAGGGTGAAAGGATGGGCCAGTTGAGGGGGACGAGCTTCCGGAAACGGGCAAAAAGAGAGAAGAAATGAAAAACACGTGAGTGGAAGAGATTTCGAATGAATCATGTTCTTAGTTTAAGTGATGAATATTGAAAATAATAGATTAGATTTAAGTAGATATGAGACTTGAAAGCAAGCCTACTTGCCAAACTTTTAAGTACAAATCCATCACTACCAAGTGCGTGCTGAATTGCTGATTATTTCATACTTTTAGTCAATACTTGAAGATAAATTTCTGTTCCTGTTAATTACCTGAAATGCCAAGATTGAAGAAAGGTTAACCCCAAAGAAACAGTAATTTGAAAACTCGCCAGGAGACCCATTCGGGCTTTCACCTGTTCACGAAATTATTTCGACCCATGGTGCGGAAATTGTGGGAACAGGCAATAAAGGTCTTGATGACGAACTAGTCTTTGCTGAGAAACTAGAGAAGATTAACCGAATGAAAGAGATTGTTTTGGACACCTTAAAGAATTGAGGAGTGACCCTGGCTACCAAGACATGTGTATTAATGCCGATCCGGAGGCACGATTTTTCTTTTTTGCTGAATTTGCCGATATTCTAGCAAAATATAGTTTCTTGAGAGTTAAGTTGACGTATGAAAAGCTACAGTTTTGAGATTTAAATTGACTACAGTTACTTATGAAAAGCTCTACTGAAGTTGCAGAGCTCTCTTGAAACTTTCCTAGTTCATTTGTTCTTAGTGATACAGAACAGACACTTTAAACAGACAAAAGCTTTCTTGAAACACCATAATCATCTCATAGAATCTTGTGAAAGTGAGAATGATGACATATGAACTTTGATTTTTTTGTATTTCTTGGATAACTGAGTCACAAAGCTGAATACCAGAAGCAGAAAACGAATCAGAACAGTTGATTATTTTATGAATGATAGAGAACAGACAATAATATAGTAAACAATAAAAAACAATTTAAAACAATAACATAGTAACAATCATAAAGAACAATGGTACATTCTCAATACTTATTTTAATAAGCACAATTTGTTGCGCTGCAAAAGTTCCAATTTAAAAAATGCCTTAGTCAAAAGGCGAGTCAAAATAGAAGAATTTCTTGAATTGGAAGAGTTTTACTAAATTTGTAATACAAAACTCCGTAAACGTAAGGCCAAAAACTAACTTTGAAGTAAATCTAATATCTAAAAAGATGATGAAAGAAAATATTAGAGGTGAATCCATGTCAAAGCAAGTCCCTTTTCTCCCCACTCTCCATGCCTGACATTGGCCTCAGCTGGGCTTCTTTTCCGGATGAATTGGAGAGGAAAAGCGGCCTGAATGGAGAAAAAGGGGCATAGCTGGGGGTACATTCGCACTCATCGACGTCTCTCTGTCTGCCACACAGAGCACAACACCCTGAACATTGATCTATCCCCTTCTTCTAAACCTTTTAAGAGCAAGGAACGCTTTGGAATTCTAAAAATAACCCGTTCAGCCTCAATCTCATTAGTTGGAAGTGGTTGGAACTTGGAACATTATGTTAAAGGTTTATTTCATTGTTTCAATATATCTTTAACTTAAATTACAAAGCTATTTAAAGCTGTATGATTGTAAGCGAACCCTACTCAGTTTTGCTTAAACCCAACTCACTGAACAATTGCTATTACAATAGGAAAACTTGTAGACAAAGCCAAAGATAGTTCTATGAATTGTAGAGAGTTAAAAATAGATTGATGAGTCTAAAACTTCAAAGATTATTCTCTTTTTCAATGTATTTGTAAATTAAAACTCTAAGAACCGTTGATTTGATTCAATTTCGAGCAAAGCTTTAAAAATGCGAAACTCCGATTTTATGGAAATCGGGATGATTGGAAATTTGAGACAAGCCATTTGCAAGAAATATATTTATACTTTGATCTTTATCATTTCTTGTAAGACCGTGTCTCGATGTGGTTCAATTGTAGATGTCTTGAAAACGCACAATTTATCAAACTTTCCCTTATTAGAGCAAACTTCGCTCAAACTGGAGCAACCTGGCACTATCACAATTAATTCAACACTTGCGTGTGAAAAAAGAGATGAATAGAAAAAGGAGCACAGAACTGACACAAAAAAAAGCTTAAATAATGGGTTTTTAAGTACACAAGCTATGACAAACGGACAAACGAATATCGTCTAGTGGCTGATTACGGTATTTTATCCTTCAACTTTGAATTTTAACTTGTGGATTGAATTTTGACTAACTGCAGAGCAGTGGCAATTCGCCACAGTAGCAAAGGAAAGAATAACTCATCCAATGTCAGAAAATCTCCAAGAACATTGTACCATGAACTTACAAATTACGTTATCAATTTCAAACTTTCTATACCCGATTGTATCATAGTTCAAAATAGTAGAAAAACCATTAATTATTACCTTTTGAAGGAGTTTAGCACATTTATCTCAAATTGAAAGCGCATAGTCTAACTGCAATTTGACTAACTGCAGAGCAGTGGCAATTCGCCACACGATTATGAAAAAAGAAAAATGAACCTTATTTCAAAGAATAATCAAAAGAATTCAAAGAAAAAACTCTAAAGGAAAATAAGTTGACCATTCAAATATGCATCTCTTTGCTTGATTTGACCTCAAATTTCACCTTGCTTTATAGAAAAGTTATCATAAATTACAATTACTTAAAATATTTCAAAAATAGAACCACAAAATACAGAAATTTCAGGTTATTAGATGCTTTTTTGAGGCAAAAAGGATGACTTTTCAAGATGGTTTCTATGGTTTCGGAATAGGGTTTTATGAGAAGAAGAGAAGCCTTGAAAAAAAAAAGTGTTTTCTATAATAAAATCTTGATTATTTGATGAAAAAGTTCATTTAAACCATTAAGAAAATATGTTCAAACAGAAGAAGACAAATAATGTTCACGAGGTTGGATCAGCTGAGCTGCAGAAATAAAGAATTTTGCAAAAGAAGAGATTTACACTTGAAAAATTTGGTCAGATCTTGAAAAATATTTTGGAATTTCTTTGAAAGAGTTTTTAATTGAATAAAATTTTGATGAAGTTGAGTTTTCAAGAAAAAGAATTCATTTCTAAGGCACTTTTTACGTGAAAATAGTAAAGATATCTACAATTTGTTGAAAACAACAGTAGAAATGCGTAAACACTTAAAAATAAAGGAGGAATGAGGTGAGGTGAACTGAATTAGCATTAAAATTATCTGAATTATTTAAAAACCAAAGCTTAAGCTATTGTCTGATTTAAAGTTTTGATTTTGATTCATTTTTTCAGCTCTGGGATCAAAATGGATCAAATTTGTTTGACTAGAGCAATAACTGGCATAAAAATAAAGCTGGAAAACTCGAGTTGGTGAAATATTGAGGCTAAATGCAATAACTTGATGGAAGTCTATGATCAGGCTCAAATGAAAAGGTTCAGGGTCCAGTGAAAAGCTTCTTTCCTTTTTTTTCTTCGTCCACTTCATTTTTCTTTTCTCGATAGTGTAATCATGACAATAAAGAGAATCGAGAGAAATCGAAAAGCAGAAACTACAACAGAAAGAACACTCGAATTTTTCTTCTTGACCAGCTGTTTGTCAAGGAGTTTGCAAAATAACAATAAGCTAAAGAGTAATTATTGGTTTGGCCAGAGAGTCTCTTCCGCCTTTTTGAAATTTTCGTTTATAAATAAATAATTAGCCGATTAACTATTTCTATTTCATTTAGCTCTTTTTGGGTAAATTTGAGCCGGCTTTGAAGCAAATCCAAATGGTAATTCTTGTTTTTTCCTAACATTCTTACAATCGACATAGAATGAAAACGGTTTGGTAAAATGTTATGAGAATTTATCTATCTGCCTAACTTTTTATTCTCTATCTTTTGTCTTTTGACACATGAATAGATTTCTGTGACAAAAAGTGCTCAAATCGAAACTTTGGAGTTTCATCCTTTTTGACTGCTCGACTTCAAACCTTTAAAAAAAATAAACAACGCTAGCTTTTCAGAATTTCTTAAAGGACGATTTGTAAATAAATAATAGGACTTTCTGATAAAAAACTATAGATTAATTGGTTCATTATTCATTTCAAAAATTAACCTTTAAGAAAGCGGACAAGACTTTCCGGCCAATCCGATAAAGGAATCAGAAGTGGTAAAATGTGTTTTAAAGAGATGTGACGGGCATAGTGAGGTCCAGAAAGCGGGAAATTTCAGTCGCTCAATGCTCTTTCCCCTTTAAGGATTCCAAACGGGAAGCTCTTTATACAAGAGTCGTATGCCAGATCGCGACCGATTAAGCGGCCGCACAAAGGAACCTTTTACACAGTGAATCTTCTTTTGCTTTGAAACTTGTGCACAAATAAGATTTAAGATTAAAAATTTGTACCCCGGGATTTTCTGGGGCGAAAAACGGCGAGAAAACGATTGGATCTGTGCATTTTATTGAGACGTCAAAGACTCAGAATGAATCAATTAGACAGTAAGCTCAAATACCCATTTCAAATACCCATAAAGTTTGAAGTCTGAACAGTTATTTGCCAGTGAATTGACAAAAAAATGAGTCTGTCACTTCCCCTTTTCCCCAAATGCGTGAAGCAGACAGACCGTGATTTTAGCACAAAGATAAACACGAACAATGGCCGGATCGACTTGTGGGAAAAGTGTTTGGTACGGAAAAATCAGAAAATGAAATGCCAGAATCCCTTTTCAATCGACTCGATATCTTGAATTGCTTCTTTTAGT